TTAGCGGCATACACTTTACTCCTGCGTTGAACCCAGTGTTTTGTGCATAGCAGACAAGTGATCTACCAGTTAGCCACAACTCTATTACCCTTAATTTTCTCAAAATAATTTAGTATGCTTGAATGAAATTAAAACTTTTTCTATTGGTCTAAAAAAGGACTAAATCTGTGTCTTTTATACCCAGAGGATAGACACTTATATAATTAATGATGTTTTAGCTGTCAGTGATTTTCAGCTTAATTAAAACAAACCAAATCTTTTAAGAGAGGAACTCCCAAGTCTATCCAGTGCTGAAAAATAATTTCCATTAAGTCACAAATTATGTACGATCCTTGTTATGGTTTAAGTAAAAATGCTGCAGGTTCCCTGAAGGGCGCAGTGGCAGAAATGCTGCATATCCCCTAGTGGCCACAGGCCATGAGAACATGCCGCAGGTCCCCAAGCAGTGGTGGGTAGCGGGCATGAGACCACGGCAGCCCACCAAGGCAGCCAGGTAGGCAGGGAGCCACATGGTGGGTGAGAGTACTCGGAGGAGCTGCAACACTGGCGGGTGAGAGACAGATGGATAGGCACACCATGCAGAGTGAGGTTGGATATTTATTTAGTGGTCTATGGGGGGGAGGGGAGGAGAGAAGTGGGGAGGAGAGAGAGACAGAAGCTACCTCTGAAAGAGACTCAGGTCTGCCTGCCTTGGAGGTTGGGGGGAGTAGGACAGGACAGACCTTTATGGTGAGGATTAGGAGTTCAAGGTCAGCCTGAGCTGTGTGAGACCCTCTCTCAAAGAAATGAAAAATATAGTCTAGTCCTTAACCAACTGAAGCATTTTGAGGAAAGTAGCCCCCACAGTGGGATCAGCATATGGTCAAGTCAGCTCTGAGATGTCTACAGGAAAACTACTGGCAGTTACTTGATTAGTACACTGTGCAGTGTTAAGAGTGTTCTGTCAGAAACACAGACACATGCATTTCTGCCTTTCCACTGTGTTAGAGTTTTTTGAATAACAATAAATTCACAAGGTGTAGTAGTTTCATTGGTTGCAGTTTGCCAAATAATCCTGTTTTCTTTGACAGCTGAGATAAACTGTTCTTTTGTTCCCATTGTAATTACTAATATTAACACTCAAATCATGCATTACGCATCATTAGTAATATCTCTATACATACATGTAGGCTACAGAGGTTAAAGAGGCCCTAGCAGAATTAAGGAAGTTGCAAAGAAGCCTGGGAAGCAGAAGCTGGTGGAGAGGCAAAGAAGCAACAGATCATACTCAAACAGGGGCCTGCTGAAGATACTGCCACCACCTTAGGATCAGAGTTAAGCTGCAAAAGGGAGGTGTGGGGAGGCTGGAGACGCAAAGTATAGAACCAGATCCAGGTAAATATATGGGAAGAAGGTACTGGGTTGAATGGAGAGACAGCAGTTGGAGCAGGTTACATCATAGACCAGGCCGACCTGAAATCCCTGAGGCAGTCAGGAGTTTTCTGCTTTTGGATGCCTTGGTGCACACCCAGGTGGTCAGATGACAGGTTGGTATAGCCATCGTGTCACAGTGTAAAGTGCCTACCTCTGTATAGGTTCCATTTGAGGGAGCTGCACCTTTTCCCCAGTCTGGAAATGCCAGGCTTGGCTTTCCTGGTGATGACTTAATATGCTCTTGTGCTTCTGTAGTCCTCATTTACTTTGATAAATTTACAGAATGGCACCCTTTCTACTTTTTATCAGCTCAACTTGAGTCTGTGGATGATGGTACCAGGCAGATGGTGTTTGTTTACAGTGTCCACCCAGTACAGAGTTTTCCTACATTCTCATAATGGAATCAAATACTGCTTATAAAATGGAGTCTCTTGGGACAGGGCATAGCCTAAAAAGATCCAAATCTTTGGTTTTTGTTTTTGAAAACAAGGTTTCTCAAAAATCACTTTTCCACAGTAAGGAGTAACAGAACAGGACACAGTTTGATCTCATCTTACAATTCTTAAGAATTGCATCTATTCATTTGGGAGTTCTGAGCAGTGGTTTAAACCTTTGGTTGTTCTTACTTGTAGAGAAGGTGCTTACAGCTGTGTTCTAGTTGCCTTTCTGTTGTGACAAACACTATGACCAAAAGAAACTTGAGGAAGAAAGGGCTTATTTCACCCTATAGGTTATAGTTTATCATTGAAAGTTACCAGGGCAGAAACTTGGGGGCCGGGGGAGCAGAAAGAGACCCTGTCAACTGCCATCCCTACCCTGCCTGCCACCACTACCACTACCTAGAAAAAAGAAAATGCTTTACAGTCTGGCCACAGGCCAATCCGATTGAGGCAGTTCTTAGCTGAACTCCCTCTCGTCATGTAATTCTAGTTTTTTGTTGACAGCTGTTACTGACCTGAAAAGCTGTATTTATCTCTGCAAACTTCCTACTTTAGTATAGTTTGGGGGACAGAAACACAAAGATCTATCTACAACATGACTGGCCTCAAGGCAACTGTAGAACTGTAGTAAATCAGCTATCCTACCGCCACATGAACTACAGAGTCCCATCCACAGGATATGCCCAGACTGTCTCAGATTGTGTCCGGCCTTGTTGTCATTTAGGCAGCAGGTGACACAGCCGAAATGTGTAAGACTATCCTCCAAATATATCTCCAGATCTACCCTAGATCCTTTTCTGGATGATACAACAGCTTCTCCCCCCCCCCCCCTCGCCAAGGAACGGAGCCTATTTCTTTCCCACCCCCCACAGGGACACACACCATTCATTTGCTCCAGATACTCTTGCCACACCTTAGAACTGGAGAAGAGCTCCTATTTCAGTTTGCTGATCTTGAACAGGGTGGCCATGGTGCCTGGGCTTACCCAGCCCACAGCTGCAGTTCCTTAGCTGTAAGAGTGAGCTCCCAGAGTTGGAGCTCCCTTGTAGCCTCTAATGACTTATCAGGGAATCTTCCTGCTTCTCACGTAAGAAGCAAGGCCAAACTCCACCAGCAGCTGCAGTGAATGTGCGCTCCCCAATCTTGGCCACTTTCTCTTCATGAGCAGAGGATGGAGTCTGCAAGGTTGAGTGTGATGCTACACTACCAGGCCAGCAATGCTACCCATGACTGATATAGGCCTTGCAGTGAACTTAGTGCCTTCAGGGACACCCATAAAGACACAGAGGAGACACTGGGCCATGGAACATAATTTTTTTTTTTTTTTTTTTTAAATTTTCGAGACAGGGTTTCTCCGTAGCTTTTTGGTTCCTGTCCTGGAACTAGCTCTTGTAGACCAGGCTGGCCTCGAACTCACAGAGATGTACCTGCCTCTGCCTCCCAGGTGCTGGGATTAAAGGCGTGCGCCATCACCGCCCGGCTGGAACATATTTCTTGACCTAATGTATTATAAGTCTAGACTGATGTGAAATATTTGCTTAATGATGCAAAGGTGTGTTGCATTCTAACTCTGTGAAGCTGTGTTACTCTGCCTGTCTAAAATACCTGATTGGTCTAATAAAGAGCTGAACGGCCAGTAGTGAGGCAGGAAAAAGGCAGAGAGAATAAATGGAAGAAATCTGGGGAGAAAGGAGGGAACAGCTGAGAAGAGAAGGAAAGGAGGATGCTGGGGACCAGCCACACAGCTGGCCATGGAATAAGAAGGAAAGAAAAATACAGAAATAGAGATAGGTAAAACCCAGATGCATAAGGTAGACAGGATAATATAAGAAAAGCTGGCTAGAAACAAGCCAAGTAGAGAATGAGAGGAGAGAAAACAGCTACAACCTACTGTCTCTAAACACCAAAGAACTTTTTCAGTGCTTATTTTGATTGGTCTTTGAACTCATAATCTTTACCTCTGGTGAATCTACTCAAGACTAAAAATTTATATGTATGTATGTCTTAAATTTTGAGAATTCTCACTGTCTCATTATATGAATGATACTACTGATAATAAATGGTACAGGACACTGACATGAACTGTCTGTAATTTGTACAGAGGTTAGCTGAATAATATAACTGTTTTGATACTTACACTTCTTTATTTCTGTTTTAATACCCATGCCTTCTGTTATTATTGTGTAAGAATCAAATTTAAGAAGCTGGAGAGGTAATGCAATGTTTAAAGAGCACTGACTTCTCTTGCAGAGAGCCTGGACTCAGTTTCCAACACCCACATGAAGGCTCACAACCACTGTAACTCAAGTCTCAGGGAATATGCCACCTTTTTTGCTATCTGAGTGTACTACATGCATGAGGTACACATACATGCCTTCAAGCAAACGTTCATGTGTATTAAAAAATATCATTTATTTACATAAAGTATTTTAAAATTAGGTACCATTTTTCTAAGACCGACCAGGGTGCCTTATGTTGTTATCCTTAAAAGTTACTTTCCAGGGCCAGAGAGATGCCTCAGCAGTTAAGAGCACTGGCTCCTCTCCTAGAGGTCATGAGTTTAGCTTCCAGAAACCACATGGTGGCTCATAACCATCTGTAATGGGACCTGGTGCCCTCTTCTGGCAAAAAGGTATACATGAACTCATGTACGTTAAATACATACATACATACATACATACGTACATCTATCTTAAAAATAAAAATTTCCTGCCGAGTGGTGGTGCCATGCTCCTTTAATCCCAGCACTTGGGAAGTAGAGGCAGGTGGATCTCTGTGAGTTTGAGGCCAACCTGTTCTACAGAGCACGTTCCAGGACAGCTAGGGCTACACAGAGAAACCCTGTCTCTAAAAACCAAAATAATAATGATGATTTTTTAAGATCATATCCTACTTTTCAAATAAAAGCATTCCAGTCTAGACAAGTGTGTGTATGCTGGGACACCAGGTATTGATTGAGTCAGTGAAATCAGACCTCCAGAGTTCACATGTACTGGTGAACTCTTATCTTAGATCCAAAAAGCAGCCAAGAAGTGTTTAAATTTGTAATGGGATGTTTTGTTTTATTTAGAGAGGGAGGTTGTATGTGTTCATTTTTTGATCCTCACAAAAACATCAGTTGTGATTGACTCTGTCTTCTGTTGACAGCCGACATCATCTCCACCGTTGAGTTTAACTACTCTGGAGACCTTCTTGCAACAGGAGACAAAGGTGGCAGAGTTGTTATTTTCCAGCGGGAACAAGAGGTCAGTGCTTTACAGTCCACAAATCAAATGGCATCGCTGTACTCTGCATATACTGCTTACCAGAAAGCGTAGTTTTCGGTATCTGGTTTTCTTGGACTCAGTCCTGTTGCAATAACTGTGTAGAGTAGAACAGTTTTTCAAACCCTACCCTGGCAAAGGAGGAAGAAATCTACTTCTCACTGTGAGTACTGCTAAGGTGTTGATGCCTTCATCCTATTGCAACAGGCATTTAGAAAATATTTTTGTTAAAGACACATGCCCATCTTTGTAGGTCCATAAGACAGTTGAAAAGAGTATAAAAATATGGTATCTCATATCACTCGTATTTGACTACTTTCCTTTGGGTTACCTGCTTCCTTGTGTCATAAGCACATTAAATCACGATAAGTCATTGTCTTTATCCTTGGATTTCAGGAACAACAGAGCTAACAGGACTACACCCTAGACATGAGCAATTATCCACAGGGCAAGGCTGCACTGCAGAGCGGAAGCTAACATCTCCCGAGAGCCAGTACAAACAATTGGAACCAGAGTGGACACTAGATAAAATCACCCTGGCCAAGACTGCCAGGCTACACATACCTCTTGTGTGTTGATACTGGGTTTTTGTTTTTTTCTCTATTTAAATTTAAAGCTCATATCAGTGCCTTATAAATTAGCCATTAGACCTTTCTGCTTTCCCTGATGTGGCCAATTTAAATCTTCGTGTTTCTTTTTTTTTTTTTTTTTTTTTTTTGGTTTTTCAAGACAGGGTTTCTCTGTGGCTTTGGAGCCTGTCCTGGAACTAGCTCTTGTAGACCAGGCTGGTCTCTAACTCACAGAGATACGCCTGCCTCTGCCTCCCAAGTGCTGGGATTAAAGGCATGCGCCACCACTGCCCAGCTCAATCTTTGTGTTTCTTGTCTAGCTTTATTTTGTACTGGCATACTGGAACTGGTAGCCAAATCTAGCTGGCAGGGGCTGCCAGAGGTAGGACTTGGGCCCTGAAACTTTGCTTACACTGTAAACTTACAAGACTTGGGGTCAGTTTAACAATTACAAACAAAGGTGGAGGAGGGGAGCAGGTCTACAAACAAGCCTAATCATGTCCACACAAAGCTGCTTGCCCACTGCAGAGAACACCTAGATGTGCAGTGAAAGGCTACAGTGCTCTTTATTTCTTCCAAGTGCATTAAAGTAAACTTCAGCAGATTTTGAACTGAGACCTTTTTTAACTTAAAAATATGTATGATCATTTAATGCTCATGTTGATAGTAGCAAAAATGTGTCCTCATTGTGCTTTGTTCATTAAAGAAGCTATCATGTTTCCTTGCAGAATAAAGGCCGCGCTCACTCTAGGGGAGAGTACAATGTTTACAGTACCTTTCAGAGTCATGAGCCAGAGTTTGACTATTTGAAAAGTCTAGAAATTGAAGAAAAAATTAATAAAATCAGGTGGTTACCGCAACAGAATGCTGCTCATTTTCTACTCTCTACAAATGGTGAGAATTGTAAAAGGCTATTTGATTTAATTTTTAAGTCTAGTGTGCATGGATTCTTATTTCAAATAATTCTAAGGGTTGTTTCTGCTTTAAACTTTGGAGAGGATGAATTGTCAGCTAAGTTGAAAACAATAGCTAGAAAATTCAAATTCTGCAAAAAAAAGTGTTGCTTTGTATATTTGTCTGTATCTTTAGTTTTTGTATGTGTATGATATTTGTGCATATATGTGGTAAATGCTTATATGCTTCTAAAGACCATTGGGTGTCCTGCACTGTTACTCTCCCATTATTCTATTGAGTAACCCCAAACAGTGCTGGAGTTATAGGGACATGGTGAGGGATTTGAACCTGGGGTCTCATGCTTGCTAAGCAACCATTCTTAACCAGTGAGCCACCTCCCCAGCCTACCAAGCTTAGACACCAACTTAGGCAGGCAGAAGTTTCCTCGAACAGTCAAACAATAGTGATACATGTTATTTGTGGTTTTTCTTTTAATATGAAGAATAAGGTTTTTATTTTCAGATAAAACTATTAAATTATGGAAAATAAGTGAACGGGATAAAAGAGCAGAAGGTTATAACTTGAAAGATGAAGATGGACGACTTCGAGACCCATTTAGAATTACGGCACTACGGGTATATGCTGCATTTCTTTAACCTTTCCAGCGCTTTTCAAAAATTAATCCAAAACAGTTATATCAGTTGTTGAGACTACTGTTTAGTGAAGTGTGACAAGGTCTGCCTTGCTGGATCATCTGTAATAATAGCAGTGTCCCTCCTTGCTGTGTACTTGTTGAAAATGGCACTCATCCGTGTCACCAAGGTCACAGTCTTCAGAAATACGATGGTGCTGAGGGGAAAAACTCATGTTTGGTTTCCTGGCAGAGCTTGTGTTAAGAAGGACCCAGGCGCTGGGCTTCTGTGGTGGAATCCAGAGTACTTGCTCAAGGAGAGACACAATGTAGGTAGGATGACTGATGAACCAGTGAGACATTAGCAGCAGAGTTGGTGAAATTTCCTGAGCTAATATGGGACACTGGTGGGTTTTTAATTCTTCAATTGTTGGACCTGATCATTGATACTTTTAATGGTGGGCTCACTGCAAACAGTGGCACCTGGGAAGGAACAGAGCATAGCTATGTTTTAGAAACAGGTGGGTAGCAGGTTTTTCAGTGAAGTTTAAGGCTTTGTTCTGTTGTTAACCAAGTGATGGTGTGGTAGTGTTGAAAGTAGCTATCTTTGGTATCTGGTAGCCTTTTTTCTGTCCTGCTTCCTAATAGGTTGCCTCAGGCCCAGCAGCCATGTACTTGAGAGAGCTAGAGAGTGGTGAGAGCTGTCCCTTAACAAAGATGGTGGACAAAGCAGGTCTGATTATCCAAGGACAGTCTTCCTCCTCTACCATTTAGCCTAATACCAGGCCGAAAAAAGGAGATATTGTTTGTTCAGGTCTGAGTCATAGGAACCCAGATAGATGCCTTCTTCCATACTGTTGGTGGGTTTTGGCATAGTGTGTTATGTTTGCATCTCTGACTTAGTGTGGTCACATTTTGTTTTAAATCTCCCATGGTGTAAGGTGCTAGTGCCAAGTTCTCGAAAACCTCCTGCTCTGGTCTTGCTTCCCCTGCCACCAGCTCCACACCTTTTGCACACACAGCCCTTCCCAAATTCTGAGGTCCTCTCATTCAGACCCCTGCGTATCCTATAAGCTTATGCGTGTGCTTATTGGGAAAACTCAGGACCTACAAGGCCCAGTATTGGTTTTATTCCTCTTTGACAGAGTTAACCTGAATAAAACCTGTCTGATTGGTGGAAGTAAGCCATTTGAGAGAAGTGATATTGCACTGGCATGGTGTGAGGACAGAATCATTGGCCAGCGACTGTGATATTCTTAGGTCTGTATTGGAGTTTCTGTTTCTCAGAGCTCAGAAAAAAACATCTGGCTTTCCCTGAGTGAGAGCTGAGGTCTTTTAAGGATTTTGTTTTTTTCTATTATTTTCGTTCTATGAAAAAGGACTGTAGTTAAAAGGGCTCTTTCATTTAGGATTGCAGTTGCTGCTTTGATTAGCTGGAAACAGTAGAAAACCATGACAGTGTGTCTTAGACCTACATACTGTGAAACTGTCGTTTTTGTTCTAGGGAACCCCAGGGTATTGTCAGCACTGACCTAGGTTAAAATGAGAACAGCATCACTACACATTTGTCCAGGCAAACTCACTTTTATAGACTTTAGCAAGAGAAGACTCAATTGAGAGATTCTTCTAAGCCTTTAATCAAGTTTTTTTGGTGTCTAGTTATATCAATAGAAATTACTCTAGTATTTGGCTTTCACTGGAACCTTTGGCTTCCCTTCCCTGAATGATAGAGAGAGGAACCTTTTCCTCTTTTGTGGCGCTGGTTCTTTAGACTGACTCTTATGCCTGTATCAGGTACAAGTGCTCTGGCCAGGCCATCCTTCCCCCAGTATCATCTGGGACTGTGACACCAAGACCTATACATGAAGGATTCAGACTGTGGCTAGGTCTACGTCAGGAGGTAGAGCCTTCTCAGCCCAGAGGGCCTCCTGCATGCTGTCTATTGATCCCTACATAGACATACACCCCACCACTATGGCCCAGGAGTTGACACTATGAAGCAGACAATCAGTGCTGTGAGAGCAGAGATTTGTCTGTTTCCAACAAGACCCTATTGCCTCTGTAATGCGAACAGAGAGGAATATAGCTGGGAACAGACAGCTTTACATACACTCTATGCTCTGTAGCAGCTCTCCTGGTTTGAGGTGTTACACAGCTATGGAAAACCTCTATCCCTTTTCTTGTCTAAATACCGTATGCTATGTTGTTATGACCTTTGTTTTGAATTCCTTTCTCCATTCCATTTTTAGGTTCCAATATTGAAGCCCATGGACCTTATGGTAGAAGCAAGTCCACGACGAATTTTTGCAAATGCTCATACATATCACATTAATTCCATTTCAGTAAATAGTGATCATGAAACATATCTCTCTGCAGATGATCTGAGAATTAACCTATGGCATTTAGAAATCACAGATAGAAGCTTCAGTATCCTTTATTTACCAGGTGCTGTCTGCTTGGTTCTGTGGTCATTGTGCAGTTCTCATGAGCAGCTATATCCCAGTCCCTCAACACTGACCTTTTGAATGCATGGTGTTTTAGAGTAGTGGCAACATAAGGTCTCTGTGATTGAGTGTTCCTAAAGATACATATCTCTGCCTGAAAGTTCACCTGAGAAACCTTGAGTCTCCTTGGATCAGCCTCTGCCTTGCCTCTGGCTCCTGATACTGCCATATGCCTCCTACCTCTTGCACTCAGATGAACCATTCAGGTCCTGCCTGATTGGTCTACCTACCATCAGGAGTTTGTGGTAGCCATAAGTACTGTAGTTCTTGTCACCATAGAGGTCACAGTACTTCACCTTGCTCCCGGCTGCCTTGCTGTCCCTGTGCTCAGTCATTACTCACACTTTCTGTGAGGTCTCAGAGTCTTGACTCCTAGCTGCCTCTCTAGCATTTTACCCTGTAACCCTAGCAGCTTCCCATTTCCTTAACTTAAGGGTATCATCAGACTCTTGGCTGGGTCCCCTCTCTTCGGCAGCCTGACAACACTGACGAGGCACCTTGAGGCTTATACTGTCTCTAGTCTCTCTAGGTTGTCTCTTAATTGTGGCAGCCAATGATCAGATATAGACTCATACATTGTGTATTATTTTTCTTAGTTTCCATTGGCTTGTCTCTATGGTTGACTTCCTGCTGTTAATATTGTTCTGACAACCCCAAGTAAGCTCTTAAAGTCAGATAATTAGGAAAACAAAATCATTTGTGATTTGATAATGTTTGCATGTTTTTAATTAGTTATAGATAGAAATATTTGTAGATAGCACTACTTGCCTTTGTAGATATCATTCAGTGTACTCTGTCATAGTCAGACACTGTCCTGCATCCACCTGAAGCCCCTTGCTGTGGGCTCGCTCCTCTGTGGCAGTATATATGGTCAGTCTCCCGCAGCTCCTCCCTCACTGCACAACTATCAAATTTCCCTTGGATGGCCAAGTATTGTGCCTTAACTTCGCACTCCAGACATTGTGGACATCAAGCCAGCTAACATGGAGGAGCTGACAGAAGTCATCACTGCCGCTGAGTTCCACCCACACCAGTGCAATGTGTTCGTCTATAGCAGTAGCAAGGGGACCATCAGGCTGTGTGACATGCGCTCCTCTGCCCTGTGTGACAGGCATGCCAAGTGTAAGTCTCCCAGGAATACCCTTGCTTTCCAGAAACTAGCTGTCTGCACTGATAGACATCGTCCATGTCCTTGCAGGCCTGGAGTATGAGGAGGTTCCACGTGGACCATGCTAATAAAGAGATGCTCCATCAGCTTTCCTCTGCTCTGATTCAGCTCAGCATCTACCCTAGCTCCCCCTTACCTAGGTCCATCCAGTGGAGCACCATCATCATGGCCTTTTTTGTGTGGCAGGACCTGGGCCATAGCCATCAAGAGTGCATTCTATCTGTGTTTTCTGTAGCCATAAAGAACTGACCCAGGAGATAAAAGGCTGTGTGACTGGGCTCCCAGCTACTCAGGAAACTGAGGCAGAATCACTTGAGGGCCAGGAAAAGACTTAAGACTCTTAGGAGACTGGGGATGGAAAGATGGCTCACCTGTTAAGTATGTACTGTTCTTGCAGAGGACCTGACTTTGGTTTCTACTACCCAGTTCAAGTGGCTCACAATTGCCTCTGACTCCAGCTTTATCACAAAAACAAAGCCATGCCCTTAATCCTGGCTCTCTGGAGGCAGAGGCAGGCAGATTTCCAGGCAAACTCTGTGTCTGTGGGTGGGTGGGTTGGTGGAGTTCAGCCAGGTCTACATAGTAAAACCCTGTCTTAACAACAAAAACTCTCCATTTCCAAGGGGATTCCCCACACTTTCTGTACACACAAACACACACATAACTAAAATTTTAAAAATAAAACTTTAGGGCCAGTGAGATGGCTCAGCAAGTGAACTTACATGGAAGAAGAAGAAAACTGACTCCTGAAACTTGTCCTCTCTCTTACATATGCAAGCCACTTCTCTCCCTAAACTAAATAAAATGTATTTTTTAAAAAGGTCCTACTTTAAAGCATACCATGGTCGGTGTTGTCCTGGTATACCATCTTAGAAATCCACCATGTGCAACTGAGCAGTAGAGCTCCCCACTCGCAGACTGAGGCACTTTAGCATACAGGAAAGCAACTGTCGCTCAGCCACTCAGGAGGGTGGCACCACGAAATGTGTGCAGCACCAGTGGTGCTTGATTAGCACATTAGTCATGTGATTAACACAGTAGCTGAAAATGCCCACTTTGTTTTTCAGTTTTTGAAGAGCCAGAAGACCCCAGCAGTAGATCCTTTTTCTCAGAAATAATCTCGTCTATATCTGACGTCAAGTTCAGCCACAGTGGTCGGTACATGATGACCAGAGACTATCTGTCGGTGAAGGTATGGGACCTCAACATGGAGGGCAGGCCTGTCGAGACCCACCAGGTACATGAGTACCTACGAAGCAAGCTCTGCTCCTTGTATGAGAATGACTGCATCTTTGACAAGTTCGAGTGCTGCTGGAACGGTTCAGACAGGTAAGGCTGCCAGCGTCGTAGGCTGACATCCAGAAGTGCTGGTTCCTTCAGGATCTCTAGCAAATCCCTCAGACTGAGTGCTACCAGAAAGAGCACCGGACTGAAAGGTCCAAATCAGGAGCACAAGGAGAGAGAGCATGAGCAAGGAACTCAGGACCGCGAGGGGGCACCCACACACTGAGACAATGGGGATGTCCTATCGGGAACTCACCAAGGCCAGCTGGCCTGCGTCTGAAAAAGCCTGGGTTAAAACCGGTCTCGCTGAACATAGCGGACAATGAGGACTACTGAGACCCCAAGGAACAGTGGCAATGGGTTTTTGATCCTACTGTACCTATTGGTTTTGTGGGAGCCTAGGCAGTTTGGATGCTCACCATCCAAACTGGATGGAGGTGGGGGGTCCTTGGACTTCCCACAGGGCAGGGAACCCTGATTGCTCTTTGGACTGACGAGGGAGGGGGACTTGATTGGGGGAGGGGAGGGGAGGGAAAGGGGAGGCGGCGATGGGGAAGAGACAGAAATCTTTAATTAATAAAGAAATAAATAAATTTAAAAAAAGAAAAACCACATTGTCAAAAATTAAAAAAAAAGAAAGAAAGAGCATCTCAGTCAATTACAGAATACGGATAGGATTGTATTCTCCTTCTGTTTGTTCATGATGTATGTCAGAGAAAACCAGTCATTTGAGCAGACCTTTCCTCACTGCCAGTGCACCGTGGTTCATAATAGTTGTAGAGTGTTCGGTGAATGATGACATAGATAAGTGAAAGGAAGGAAGCAGGAAGTCATTTACTAGTCCATAAGGCCTCTCCTCAGAGAGGTTTAAGAAACAGCCTTTAGGCTACAGCACTCCTGTACACTTCTCTGGAATATGCTGCCTCATTGCAGTCTGAAGCTGCATTGTTCATCTCCTGCACATTGTATAGAGATTACACTGTTTAGTGCTATTGAGAGGTCTTTGAAATCATCCCAAAAGTAGTCATGTTTCAGATTCTGTAATCAGATTCTCGTCGGTTATTTTCTAGAGTTTCTGTTGAGAATTTAAGTGACTAGACAACTGAAAACCCCTTCAACATAAATGACTAGGAATATAGTGGCACACAGTCTTAATTATAGCATTTAGGTGCTAAGGCAGGAGCATCACCAGTTCAAGGCTAGCTTGGGCTATATAGTAAGATGCAGTCTAAAAAGTATAACTACCTAGAAACATCAGCTATGATACAAATACTTCTTTAAGTAATAGTTAAGCTCACACACTAGAATTGCTGTCTGAGCCCCGAATGTTCATCCCTACAGAGTGTCTCTATTTCCACCCATGTAGAAGTTTGAGGTCTGTCCTAGCTGCATGATGTGGAAGACCTCACACCAAAGAACTAAATGCTTACCCGGGGGCAGAGCTGAGCATCCTTGAACATACCTTTTCTTGGACTGCTCACAGATTAACTAGCATGCCAGTTTAAATGTTCAGACCATGCTTGCGGTCATTGGACTACAGTAAGCAGCGTGAACTTGTGTAGAGGCCCACCTCAGTGCAGGCACTGTCTGTCCTAATTGAGGACAGCTGCTCGATACTGTTGCAGTGCACCAGAGTTCGCACCCATGCTGATGATAAGATACTGTCCTGAAGAACACCTGGTTGCTCTCTGCTTTCTGTCCTTGTTGCAGTTGCTGTTGGCTCCACTCCTGCCCTTTCATAAGCATTGGCTCCATGCAGAAATGGAGAGGACTGTAGCAGTGGGTCCTCTTCTACAAACTCAGTCCTGCACACTCATTTCAGGTGCTCTCTCGAGAGTGTATCAAACCATAATTCCCAGCTCCAGCCCCTCTGTTACCACTTATTCCTGTGTTTACACGGTAGTTTTGTATGAACAAGAATAGCTGTGTGGGGTTTTTCTGAGTTTGTTTGGTGTGGAATTTGGGGCAGAGTTAGCCAGACTGTAAAAGTATTTACAGTCAGCTGAGAAGAGCCCTGAGCAATATAATAACTTGAAGAACTTAGACGTTCGTTATAAAGACCACTAGGCATGTAGTAATAAGAGAGCAAGACATGGCGGTCCAGATGGGAGTAGGAGAGCTTGAGGTTTTCCAAGGAGAAGACAGACGAGATTGACTGGTCTTCACTTGCCAGGGAAGTCAGAGGGCAGTGTGAAATGTATTTTGTTTTTGTTTTATCTGAAACAGTATTCAGTATTGTGTAGCCCAAGCTGGCCTCTAACTCGCTATATAAGTAGGAGTGTTGACACATAGCCGTATTCCCTGCATTTACAGGAAAATCAGGAATTTGTGGTCATCCTCTACTACATAGCAAGTTTGAGACCAGCATGATGCTATGTGAGATCTTATCTTTAAAACAGGGAGGAAAAGGCCTCACTGTATGGCTGCTGCTCGTCATCCCAACAGTGGAACATAATTCCCACAGGGACAGCAGGCATAGGATCTCAGGGGCAAGATTGGCAGCTAGACTAGTCAGAATCAGAGCAGTCTGACTCAGCAAGAAACCCTGCCTCCTCAGTAAGTAAAGTGGAGAGCAGTTAAGGAAGAAACTCTGTCAGCCTTGGGCCTACATGCACACATGGACGTACCTGTGTTTAAACAACTTGCAAACCAAATACACGTTCCAAATTATAAAATGTAAAAATGGCCCCTTCCAAAGTCATAAATCAAATTGCTCCTTTGACTCCTGCCTCAACTGTCTGGGTGCAGATGTGCACCATCCACTGTACCTGGCTGTAAAAGAAACTTAGAAATTAAATTAGCCACACTGATAATTGAGTTAATCTCCATTGGGAAACGTGATCAGCATATGACTAGTTTTGACTTAAATTTGTTGATGAGATGCTCCAGGCTCATAGTTAACTATCCTATCAGTTCATGAGAGTCTTTATGGGGGGTGGGGATAATTGGATTTTTTGAGACAGGGTCTCTTACGTAGACCTTGGTGTTCTGGGACTCACTGTGTAAACAGACTGGCCTCAAACTGACAGAAGTATGCCTACCTCTGCCTCCCCAGTGCTAAGACTAAAAGTGACTTGGACAAAGTTTTCTTCCCCTACCCTGATCTTCCTATGTTCTACTCTTTCACATCCTCCACCTCCCGCCTCTCTTCTCCCCTCCCCTTCAGTACATTAGTTTAATTAAGAGAGATGAAGGAATTCTGTTCCCAGCCCCCGTGTCAGACAGATCACTACCTTCTGTAAGACCCACTGCGGGGATCTTACACTCTCTTCTGGCCATCGTAAGTTTGTATTTAAAATGACGGATCCATGACTTTACTTGGACATGAAAATATGTGAAGTTCACTGCAGAATCTGCAGTGTATTTCTTTCCTGATAGTGGAGAAATTGGGGCTCATGGAGGGAGGGTCTGTGCTTCATGCCTTGCGCCACTGCTACTCAGTGTTCCCCCTTTTCTCTCGAACAGTGCCATTATGACGGGGTCCTACAACAACTTCTTCAGAATGTTTGATAGAAACACACGGAGGGATGTTACACTGGAAGCCTCAAGAGAGAACAGCAAACCCCGAGCCAGCCTGAAGCCCCGGAAAGTATGTACAGGGGGTAAGAGAAAGAAAGACGAGATTAGCGTGGACAGTTTGGACTTCAATAAGAAGATCCTTCACACAGCCTGGCACCCCATGGAGAGCATTATTGCTGTAGCTGCCACCAATAACTTGTATATATTCCAGGACAGAATAAACTAAGGAAGCTGACTGGAGGACCAAGTGTTGTTTGCATAGTTAAGCCAGTCGTTTCCCTGTCACAGAAAAGGCGTTGTCCTCTCCATTGAGAATAGTGATGCGCTTCCACTTCCTCATAGACACAGGAGAAGAAGGGGTCTCAGCTGGAGTCTTGGGAGAGATGAGTGCCGCTGCTGAAAGGAAAACCTACTCGAAGCTGAATTGGTGGACTTTGTTCAATAAAGGCCGTTCCTCAATTGTATTTATTTAAGTCTGAGCCTTCCTTTCCAACTTACTTATAGACCAAAAAACTAACATCTGAGAGGATAAAAAGCTCATCCCATCTCTGTCCAGCTCTTCCCTCTGTCTCTGCCATCCATCCCTGGAGCCCCAGTGGACTGCATCACCACTGGTGCGTGGATCCGCCCGAGCAGGCTCAGGCAGCTTTACTCACCCACTGTATCTGCCATCACCTCTGTGGAGCTACTTAATAAACACAACACACTGTGAAGTGTTTTTAAACCCAAATGCCATTGCAGTCTTTTTATTTGTTTCAGTTGCACATGATGAAATTATTCAAAATATTGTACTTTGGAACGAATTGAGAACTTTTTTTGACTTTGGCAGAATGGTTGAGATTGTACAGAACTTCAGATTCTAAATGTAACTATCCTAAATTGCCGCTTGGTTTCTGTAGAAACCTCATCTTGGAAAGCCATAGTTGGGTCTACCTGAGAAAGAAAATTAGATGAGAGAGCAACAGAGTTGCTGCTACCAGATTAACACCTGGTTTAAAGTAGACCCAGAGCCACTACAGTTAGTGTGTATGTACTTCTTCTAAGTACTTTGAAGAAAGCATACTTTTAAAATATTGCTAAGATTATGTGCTTGCTGGATTTCATACTATGTCAGTAGAACTCAACAGCTATAGTTGGGAAATGTCACCTGTACCTATGATTCACTTTAAAACATGTTAGAAAACAGGGTCAAGATTTCCTGATAAGAAATGTAAAAGTTAAAAAAAAAAAAGTAAACGTTGCAAAAGTTTTAAAAAATAATGTAACAGGTACAAACTCTTACTGGGCAGTGGTGACACAGGCCTTTAATCCCAGCACTCAGGAGGCAGAGGCAGGTGAATCTGAGTTCAAGGCCAGCCTGGTCTACAGATTGAGTTCTAGGACAGCCAGAGCCACACAGAGAAACTTTCAGAAAAACAAGAAGTATCAGCATGTAGTGTTTCTGTAAGAGTCGATCAGTGAGCTACTGCATGTCTGGCAGCGGGGCCGGCTGAAGTAGGTAAGGTGTACTGATGACTGCTGATCTGTACAAGGCCAGCACACCTCACCATGGGAATAATGTTAAGACTGCTCCCTTTCGCGTTGCACTAGAGACTGAGAACCTCCAAGGGACTTTATCTTAAAAGTAATCACATTTTGACAGGCACATGTCCCTAATCCCAGCAAGCAGGAGACAGGAGTAGACATTTCTGGTTTCCAGGTCAGCCCGGTCTACATATCTAGTACCAGGCCAACCAAAGATACATAATGAGACCCAGCCTCGAAGGTAAAAGCTAAGTGTTTAATGCCTTTAATTCCAGAACCAGAGAGGCAGAGGCAAGCCTGGACTACGTAGTTCCAGGACAGTCATGACTACATAGACAGTCTCACACACACACAAAATAACTGTCCTGAATCTTGACTGGCAACTTAGAGTATCTGAGATAATGCCAGCATCAGTCCTAATAGAGCAGGACTGTTCATAAGCCATCTGTTCTACCAAAAAGTTTAATACATTTAAATGTTAACCCGAATTTACCCTGGGTATTTAGAAAACTTTCCATGTCATCCTCTTGTAGAGGCAGAAGAACGGTGAGCATGCAGCTTTCTGGGAGCTTAGCTGTCCCCCTGGGTTAGAGGCCTGAGCCTGCAAGCTCTTTCTCAAGGAGTCCAGGCTGTTCCCATCTCTGGACACCCTGCATTGCTGTAGTGTAGGATACCAGGTGCTTTTGATGCAGTTACTAGTGTTGGCTAAAAGGACTCACTTCTGACAAACAGGCCCTCTCTGAAGTCTGGTTCTGTTTCCATACAAGATTCTTAACTGGCCTCAAACTTGAGATCCCTCTGCGTCAGTCTCCCAGGCACATGTCACCATGCCCAGGTAAGAATCCTACAGTTCTCAAATTTAAATTGGTCTTCTTTATTATATTCAAACCTGCAATGGCTAGCATTTCTCTAGAATATTCCCTTTAAGAAAGCAGTGTCTGTCAAATGTTTTATTGCTATGCTTCTGGGCTGAGAATCTAAACAAGTGAAAGCAGGTGGATTTGTTTTGGAAGTGAAGACGGGTCTTACTGTGTGGCACTGGCCTGGAACTCATCACTGTGTGGAGCAGGCAGACATCAAACTACCAGCAGTCTTAAGTGCCTCTGCCTTCCAAGTGCACCACTGTGTTTGGCATACATGTGGGATTGTTTTTATTTTGAGACAGGGTCTCACTGCCTAGCCCTTGCTAACCTAGAACTCTGTTTAGTCCAAGTTGACCTTAAACTCAGAGATCCTCCTACCTCTGCCTCCATAGTGCTGGGATCAAAAGTGCACCACCACACCACCCTGTACACTAAAGGAATGCAATCCACATACATGGAGGAGGAACAGGAGTATAAAGTCATCCACTGATAATGAGTTCAGTTAAGTCGACCTAGACTACAAGAGACGCTGTGGGGTGGGGGTGGGGGGTACCTAAGCATGGCGGCACCTACCACAGCACACAGGAGGCAGAGACTGGTGGATCTCTGAGTTCCAACCGGCCAGGATTACATAGTGAGGCCCTATTTCAATTTTTTTTTTTAGTTAATTAAAAGAGGCTAAAGAGATGACTCCGCAGTTAAGAGCACCTGGTACTCTTGCACAGGACCTTGAGTCACTTCCCAGCACCCATGTGTGGCTCACAACCTGCTGTGTCTCCCAGTTCCAGGGGATTGATTCAGCAGTTCAGTGCCCTGGAAGTACCAGGCCTGCATATGCATAAACTCAGGCTCACCCCTCCTACAAAGAAAATAAAAGAGCTCACTTTAAAAATTGTAATTTTTTTTTTCTGCCAAGAAGTGGTAGTTCACACGTTTAATCCCAGCACTTGGACTTGGGAGGCAGAGACAGGTGCATCTCTGATTTTGAGGCCAATCTGGTCTACAAAGCAAATTCCAGGCCAGCCAAGCCAGGGCTACACAGAAACTCTGTCTTGAAAAGTGAAATTTTTCTAAAGCTGTGCTTCTATGGCACAGTTATGTATCAGTCATGTCAGTTGACAGAACAGTGATGGTTGCGTTCAGAAGTCGCAGTAAAACATGCCAAGTGGAAACCATCCCAGTGGTCCTGGGGCAGTCCTCTCCGCTATTGAATGTGGAGGAAAGGGGGTGCCTGGCACTGTTGCCTGCCCTTACTCTTGGGCCCTGTCCCACCTGCCATACCTGGAAAGTCTTGTGTAGAGCTAAGTGTGGCAACTGGCTTCTAGTCAGATGTCACACACTGCTCTCCTCAGCTAAGGGCCTGCAATAGGAGCCCAGCGCATAGTGAGACCCAGTGGAGGAATGGTGGGTCCTGCTGTGTGCCTGCCAGCGTTCTGTGCCAGTGCTGTTGTGCCCTGTCCCAGCTGCCATGCCTTTGAAGTCTAAAGAGCCAAGGTTCTTGTGTGGGCTAATGTGACTGCTAGCTGCTAGTCCTTGGGCATTACAGATAGAGGAGATACCCAGTGGTGCTGCCTACCAGTCATTCTCTGCATGCAGCATAGCTGGGTGCTGGCTAGAGAAGTGGAAGGGCAAAAGTTCCATTCTGGGGAGCTGTCTGCCAAGTGACAGTGGGACACGGATGGTGCAGTCACAGCACTTCTAGGGACTCTGCACTTGTAAGAACTTGCTACCTAGGCCCAGTAGTGGTGGTGCAGGCCTTTAATCCCAGCACTGGGGCGGATCTCTATGAGTTCAAGGTCAGCCTGGTCTACAAAGCAAGTGCCAAGACAGGCTCCAAAGCTACAGAGAAACCTTGCCTCAAAAAAAAAAAAAAAAAAAATTAAAAATGGAGACTAGTACCTAAATTTACCCATAGCAGACAGGACCCTGCGCTATCAAAGTGATGGGGTCAGAGCTTTTTGACTCCAGTTTTGTGGCTCTTTTGAGGTGGCGATTAAGTAAAATGAGTGGGACTTTGGTGGCAGTTTGAAAATACTTTTGAAAGTTTTTGATGTTTGCAAAGCTTGTGGTCTGGCACAAAACTGCGTGCCACGACGTGAGCAGCATGACTCCTGGCTCTTGTGGCTGGGGGGCACTGTTGAGTGGCCCCTGTACCAAACGCTACCCTGGGAAGAGCACAGCCAAGAGTGACAGGTTGTAGCACTGTCACAGAGCAGAGGTTCAGTGGCCTGTCCAAATCCCACCATCACACTGATACTTTCAGATTATTAGGTGAACTGGGTGTCGTAAAGCATGCCTGTGCTTGAGAGCAGGAGGCAAAAGGCTCACAGTGAGTTTGATGCCAGCACGATATACAATGAAATCATGCCTCAAAAAGAGTCTGTGGAGGAGGGATAGAAAGGCTGGACATTGTGGCACAAACCTTTAATTCCAGCGCTCTGGGAGGCAAAGGCAGGCAGAAATCTATGAGGTTGAGGCCAGCCTGGGCTATATAGAGAGACCCAGTCTCAAAATCAACCCTTTTAAAGTTGTCTCTTTATCTCAGGCCAGCCTCAAACTCACTGTATAAACAAAGAATGACTGAACCCCCGGAGTGTCACCTCTGCTGGTTTATGTGGTGCTAGAGATCAAACCCAGGGCTTTGTGAATGCCAGGTGAGTACTCTGCCAGCTGAGTGAGCTTCATGCCCCCAGAGTTTCTGTTTGATCTTGCTGTTTCCTAAACTGGCTTGAACTTGTGATCCTTCCATCTCCAGGAAATGTTTTAAATACTTGGTTATTTTAGTGTGTGTGACTATATAGCATATACATGCCCAGTGCATGAGGAGATCAGAAGAGAAAATCCAGTCCCTAGAACTAGAGTTAAATAAGGTTGTGAACTACCACATGAATACTGGGAACCAAATCTAGGTCCTCTGCAAAAGTAGCAAGTTCTTTTAGAACTGCTGAGCCAATTCTCCAGCCTCATTATTTTTCTCTCCCAAGTAGGATTACAGACAGGTGCCACCACCACTGCCCAGTTTTAGAAATGCATTTTTTTTTGGTATTGTGTTTTGTTTGGAGACGGTGTCTCTCTACATAGTCCCGACTTGTTTTTATGTTTTACATTTTTTTGTTTTTGTTTTGAGACAGGATCTTTCTACATAATCCTGGCTGTCCTGAAATTCGCTATGTAGACCAGGCTGACCTCAAACTGCCTGCCTCTGTCTAGATTGCTGGATTAAAGGTGTGCACAACCACGCCCAGCAAAGATTCTGGTGGGGTTTTTTCTTCCTTTTTCCTTCTCCCCCTCCCACTCTTCCTCCTCTTTCTTTGTTTTTTTTTTTGTTTGTTTGTTTTTTGTTTGTTTGTTTTGTTTGTTTTTTAAGCAGGATTTCTCTGTGTAGCCCCGGCTATCCTAGAACTCCCTCTGTAAACCAGGCTGGCCTCAAACTCTGAGACCAGTCTGCCTCTTCCCCACCCCTCATGCAGGGCTTAAAAGCATGTACCACCACCAGCTGACTGATGGGCCTTTTTCTTCATTAAGTTTTATACAATACTGTATAGACTTTGGAGGCCCTCAGAGGAGTATGTTAAGGTTTTACCCTATTCCTGACCCTTGTAATTATTTCTCGAATGTGCCTTTGGTTTTTCAGACAAGCCAGTTTTATATGCTAGTAGCTCCACCTGTCACTTCACAGAACCTCTCCTTTCTCTCCACAGGAGCTCAAGCACACAGCTCTGACTGGAGGGCATGGACCCCGGAATCCACATTTCCATAAATGTTCTGACGCTGCTGGCCCAGGACCACCGTAAGTAAAAGGCACTGCTTACTTTGTTTGTTTTGCCGTGGAAGAATTAAACAGGTGTCAGGACACTCAGCTTCCCTGGTGTCAGCGCAGGCAGCGATGTCTCACTCAACCACACAGCTTTGGCTTGACTGGGCCTTAAATGTTTGTCTAGGTGCATTCTCTTTTTGCCTTCCAGTCTCTGTCTCTCACAATCTTGAGAGTTTTGAAGTGTACAGACAACTGTTTCATAGAACTCTCCTTAATTTAGACCTATTTTTATCTAATGATTAAATTGTAATTATGTATTTTAGGCAAAAGCCATAAAAACAAAAAACTTGATGTGGCCTCAGCATCAAACCAAGTTTCTTTACATAAAGCTACAATTCTGAGTAACTTATGGGAAAAAGACAACTTTTTAAAAAAAAACCTACGGGTGCTGGGTACATGGAGGTCAGAGACCAACTTGTAGGTGTCTGTTCTCCTGGCCCAGGAATAGAACTCATCAGGCTTAACACCAAGGCCCCTTTATCCACTAAACCATCCTGTCGGCCCCAGAATGTCTCTTCTTATCCCAGGGTAACATTGTTTGCCATTGGAAAGTCAGCAGTTCTGCCGTTTACCTAGTAATTTTCCATTCCCATCATCCTCTCCTTTCGTATTAACTTGGAATTCTGTTAAGAAGAATGATCCCATCTGACCAAACATGCATGAATTGAAAGGGTACCTGCTTTATGCTGTGGGCAAGAAAACACTGTTGTCATCTCACAACTCACGTGGCCCACAGGGTCCCAGTTTGGCAGCTGCGAGCCCTTCAGGATGGGCACACAGGTGTCTCGGACTTCAGTGGCTACTATCTGAGCTCTTCCTTTCTGGCAAGTCCCCCTAATTATTAACTTCCCTAGTGAGCCAGGCCTTTCTCTTTAGAGCATGACACTAAATGTACGGTCTACTGTTTAGTGTCCCTGTTTCTGTGTGCCCTGAGCAGAATCGGCTGGACTCACTTCATCTCTCAGACATCCAGTTAGATTCCACCATAGGCTTGAAGCAGCCTACTCCAGCCTGATTTGTGTGTGTGTGTGTGTGTGTGTGTGAGAGAGAGAGAGAGAGAGAGAGAGAGAGAGAGAGAGAGAGAGAGAGAGAGAGAGAGAGAGAGAGATNCCCTCTTCTGGCCTGCAGACAGAATATTGTATAATAAATAAATAAATAAATAAATAAATAAATAAATAAATAAATAAATATTAAAAAAATATCATTGCCACAATATAGAACTAAAAAGAAATCAGGAGTTTAGGTGCATAGCCAAAGCGGAAAAGTAACAATAAGAATTACTGGGTTGGGACTGTGGACAGTATCCTACAAAGGTTATTTGAGAAGTCAAATAATTGAATCAGAGCCCGAGTCTGACTAGGACTTCTGGCCAGTCTCAAGGGCCACCAGCCCAGCTGGGTTTTCAGTCATGGTCATACATGTCATACATGCATAAGCAAGTCATGTGATGAAATACCAAATGCACTGAGATGATGCCTGAGAAGTTGATGAGACTGGGGCTTTGAAAGTCATAAAGCACGTCCAGGGAGGTGACACGCTGGGCAGGTGGATGGAGCACCTGTAGACATGTTGCTTGTATTCTGTAGCCAGCTATGGTGTAACGACAGTTAACTCCAAGAGGGAATCTTCCTGACCTATGTGTCAGTAGCTTCCATGCCAGGATCACACATGTGCCTACATAATGAATCAGAAAGAACATGACTAATTCTCACCACAAACCAATGCAGGTTTATGATATTATGTATCCATGTTGCATTAAAGAATTTTTTTAAAAAGTGTGTTTCTTCTTCTTGCAGTGGTTTAGACCAGGAATGAACCCAAATTTGAATACTCTACTTTGTCTCTCTGTATCTTCTGTCAGTGCCTAATATCTGTGGTCTGTATTCTGTCTGTCTATCATTTGTCTACTGTGTGTATCTGATGTCTGCCATTTCATTTGGTTTTTGTTTTGTTTTACTTTTTTTTATGTTTTGGTTTTCACAACAGGGTTTTCCTCTGTGTAGCCCTGACTGTCCTGGAACTCACTCTGTAGCCCAGGCTGGCTTCAAACGCAGAGATCCGCCTGCTTCTGCCTCAGAGTTCTGGTATTAAAGTGTGTGCTTCCAACACCACCTGGCTGTCTGTAATTTCTAATAAAGAACTTTGCTAGGTATTTATTGAACAGCACAGAAAATGAGATGTGGCAAAAGAATGAGTAATTCTCTTTTTTACCAAACAGTTGAACAGAGTTTTACAAAAGAAGTTACTTTCCTGGTAGAATAGCACTCAAGCCCGCAGACAGAATGTTATCGACCTATAGCCGCCTGTCACTTCCAGCATTTATAGTGGATACTTGTTTTAAGATTGCTTTCAACCTAGTGGCTACTTACACGCACACACGCGCGCGCGCGCGCACACACACACACACACACACACAGAGGGAGAGAGAGAGAGAGAGAGAGAGAGAGAGAGAGAGAGAGATAGATATCTTGGTTATAGAAAAAAGTATTAGACAGTTGTGAGTCACCATGTGGATGCTGGGAACTGAACCTAGATTGTGTAGATCAGACAAATGTTCTTAACTGCTGAGCCATCTCTCAAGCCCCATACCCTTAACTCATTTACTCAGTATTTATACACAACCTAATTTCACAATGCATTCCCTTATAAGAAACAAACTTTGCTGAAGCAAGAAAACACCTATTTACTATTATGTCCTTGTAGAATCTAGTCCAGATACTACCTGCCTGCTACTGAACTCCTGCTTTTTGTCTTTCAGCCCCTACAGCATGCATTTGTTACTCTCTTACATTCAGTGAAGTTCCCTTGCGTGCTTATGTCTGTCTTCCCGACCTCCTACTCCTTCCTATCAGCCTACTCCACCTGCCACTCACTTCCTCCTATACCATCACATCTCGTTCACTTCTGGCTTGTTCACCTCAGATTTGGACACAAATGAGGAAATGTGCTAAACTGTCTTTGGCTCTTTCCACCTAAGGATGGTTTGAGCAGTAACGTGGGCTCAACTGCAGGTGGCATCATCAGAGCTAGAAGACCATCAGGATGTGTCAGCAGGGTGAGCTGGTCAGCATGCTTCCCAGCCATTGGCTTGCAGGTAAGGCTCTCCACTGGGCAGTTTTATTTCTTCCCAGCAGAGTCTGGGGTCCCCAACAGAAAGCAGCTGCCCACATTAAAACTTCATGGACCAAGGAATTAGGCTACATCACTTCTTCCTTGTCCTATCCATCAACTTGTTCAGAGGCCCAGGAGAGGGAACATACACACCCATCAGAAACTAGAGCAAACCTGCTTTAGAACTATCAGACTTCTATATCACTCAGCTTCAGCACCCTTTTAACAGTCGTTTTGCTTGTATTTTTCATGTTTTATTTGCTATGTCCCAGGAATAATAAATCAGTTCCTTCTATTTTAGCACCATGTTCCTTTGTGCTAGGGCTTCATGAACCAGCCTCTTTGTCCTACACAGGAACCTCTGAGAGTTAAATAGTTTCATATTCTTGTGCTTGTTTATTTTGAGTCTGTGTTAAGATAGCACTTTCCTATGCAGACCAGACTGTTGTGGAATATTACTGTAACTATGTGAAGATGTGTTCCATTTGTAATGCTGTATTTGTTTAACTATGTGAAGATGTCCTGCTTTTGTTTGTGCTGCATTTAATTTGTAAAGATTTGTAAATGTCTGTTTGTAAAGATGTTGTGTTTATGCCGCACTTGTAAAGATGTGTTGCTGTTTTACCTTGTCTACCTCAGGCACATGACTGGTCTAATAAAAAGCTGAGCAGTCGATAGCTAAACATTAGAGGGCTAGGTGGAGCTGGCAGAGATAATAAATAGGAGGCATCTCAAGGAGAGAGGGAGACACCAGGAGCCAGACAGGCACAGAGGATGCAGGAAAATAGGATAGTAGTAAGTCTCCATGTCATAATTTGGGGTCGAGGTCCAAGACTGCCTGCTACACAAGAAACAAAAGTGCTTATGTTGGGTTCTTGTTGTTTTCAGATCTTTGAAATATGCCATACACATGAAGATCAGATAAAGATTAGGTGTGAGATCTCCTAGAGCTGAAGTTATATGCCAATGCTTATAATAACCACCAAGCATCCCTCCAGCCTACCCTGTTTTAAGGTACTGCCCTCTAGGTCTTTTCCACAGCTGAAACCATTAGCACGTCTGCCATGTCATTCTACAGTATGTTAGCTCAAACCTTAAGGCCCTTGCAGTTCTACATCATGAACTGCATTAATTTGTGGCCAAAATCAGTTTTTCAAAACTACTGGATTTTACTACATTTTAAATTTGTTATTCAATAGCTGAGCAATAGTAGTTATTTTTAGATATATGGATGTTTTGCCAGCATGCATATCTGTACCACTTCTGTGTCTCGTGCATGAAGGGACTAGAGGAGGGAGTTACACGTGGCTGTGAACCACCCATGTGGGTGCTGGAAATGAAACCCAGGTTCTCAGGAAGAGCGGCCAGTGCTCTCAAACACAGAGCCATCTGCCCATCACCCAGGCAGTCATTTTTTTATATATTAGGCTTGGTGTGGTGGGACAGGCCAGATCCCAGAGGCAGAATGATTCTAGAGCCCCAGGCCAACCTAGACTACGTAGTAACTGTCTTACAAAACAAACATGCATACCCAGACTAGAAGCATAAGGGCTTGTGCGGCAAGGTATCTCACACCTTTAATCACAGCACTCAGGAGGCAGATCTCAAATTCAAAGCCGGGTTGGTCCACATAAAGAGTTCTAGAATACACAGAGAAATCCTATCTAAAAGAAAAAAGAAAGTTTTCACTATAGCCATTTGGAAATATATTTTGTCATTCTGCCTGAAGGCTGAAGCATGGAAAAGCTGGCCTTTTACAACTATGGGTTTTTAAAAAAAAAGAACAGTGGGAAGATGCTGCAGGAGAGATGGTTCAGTTTCCAGAATCCCTGTAGGGTGACTCACAACTGATTGACACCAGCTCCAGGGAAATCCAATGCCCTCTTCTGGCCTCAAAGGACACTGTACTCATATGCTAGTATACTATTTAAAATAAAAATAAAATATTCCAGAGCCAGGCATGACGCTGCATGCCTTCAATCCCAGCATTTAGGAGGCAGAGGCAGGCAGATCTCTGAGTTGCACGTCAGCCAGAGATACACAGTAAGACTGTTTCTAAAACGAAAGAAAATAGGATGCCATCCCACCATCTTTCTCCAGATGACAGGGACATGAACTATTTTGAATAATCATTTAAATATAAACAAAAGACCGTTAAAATGTTTCTTTTATTTTAACTCACCTGAGTCAAGTGTGGGACAATGAAACAAACACAACAGGATATATACAGCATGTCAAGGAGGCAGCCTTTAAAAACATGCTATAGAAAAGAGGAAGACTGGGAATATACCTGGATTAACAGAAGCACTGGCTACTGATTAACCCATATGCAAATCCAGTAATCTCCAAAGGATTTGGCAAAGATTTATTTTCATTTCCAGTCTTTTAAAGTAGACAGATTTGCTTACAATACAGCACACAAAATTTTAGTACAAACAATGGGATTTAAAATCAGCAGAATGATGAAGGTGCCTGCAACAAAACTGACCACCCAAGGCAGTGATGGCAGACAAGGAGGCTGGAATCATCCTACAAAGCAAGAAAGCGGGGAGGGAACAACTACCCAGTGGGCTTTGTGGGTAACCTTAGCTTCTACTTGCTACTTTATTCACATAGTAAGAGGTCTTTACAGATAACCCATACCCGTTTAATTAACCATGTAGCATTAAGGCCACAATATTCCTTTGGGACAAACCCTTTAATGATTTTAATTTCACTTACTCATTCTTTTGAAGTGTAAAGTGTCTTAACTGGATTACAATTACAGATCATTTTTAAGTACACCATTGCAACTATATTAAAATTATTCATACTATTTATATCTAATATTCAAAAAAAATTTACTAATAAATGCTACAATAGGCATCAGTCTTACATGCTTATTAATTGATCCCGTAGGTTTAATTATAGGTCATGATATTAGAGTCTATTCTGTCTCACTAAATCAGGAACACCGCATTTACAGAACAAATAAACACAAGTAGTGCAGACACCCAAGGATCATGCTAGCTCTTCAGTTATCTGTCACAGCTCTGACATGAATCCTCACTGTGTGAACAAAAGTCAGATCCATTCTTCCATCAAAAGGTGCTAGTGGAAGTTGTCAGACGCCTTCCAATGTAGATCCTAGACAGAAAAAAAAAAACAGCCATCAGGTCTCACACAATTCTCAGGTGGTTACAGCCTGTGGAAGGGAACTAGCCACCTTAAACTTAATTAAGTATGACTGTCTGTAATCTTTATCAAGTGTTTTAGTCATCAGATATGTATTTCAAATTGGTCTAATTTTTCTTAATTGCCATTAAAATTATATTTGTTTTTTCAATTATATTCTAATGGCACAAAAGACTGAAAAGTACAAAAAAAAAAAAGAAGAAGAAACTAATAGCAGTAATTGAAACTCAATGACAGAGCATCAATCTACCATACACAAGTTCCCAGGTGTAAACCCCATAACCACCCCCAAAAGTACAAAACCCCAAATGCTATCACTATAGAGCTTCGTAGTCCCTTCAGTGTGCAAAATGAGCTACACACCTGCACTCCAGGACAGGTGGCTTCTTCACCTCCAGTTAGTTCATTACCACTAACATCAAAGCCCAACCAAGGAATAAGTAATGAAGCCTCCCTTCTCTCTAGTCAAGTAGAGGGGGACTGAAAGTCTCTAAGAAAAGAGACAGAGGGCCGGGCGGTGGTGGCGCACACCTTTAATTCTAGCACTCGGGAGGCAGAGGCAGGAGGATCTCTGTGAGTTTGAGGCCAGCATAGTCTACAGAATGAGTTCCAGGACAGGCTCCAAAGCTACAGAGAAACTCTGTCTCGAAAAACAAAACAAAAAGAGAGAGAGAGAGAGAGTGGGACAGGAAAGAATTCCAGCTGGCCAGGTCTATGTGAAGTAGTGAGAAAAAAGACTGTGGGCAGTGAGCTATCTGGAACTAAGGAGGGTAGCTTTCATCTCAGAGGACTGACAGTTGCCAAGAGCGGTGGTACCAATAGTGGACAATTGCCAGGAGTGGGTAGGGTGGCACCATTAAGCTCTGAAACTGGGAAGGATGAAGGACAAACAGTAGGTAGGAGCTGAATGCAGAAATAATTTCCTGAAGAGAAACTCAGCTTAGGTTCTGAACTTGAAGATTACTAGGCCCTATCCACAGATCCTCCCCTTGGTGTTTCTGTTCTGTTTTTTTGAGATCAGGCCTCAGTAAGTAACCCTAGCTGACCTGGAATTCAGAAATCTCCTGCCTCTGCCTCTGCCTAAGTACTGCTTGCTAGTTCTAAGAAGAAAGTCCCAGGTGATGGGATGCACCTGATCATGAGACCAGGCGCTAGGACAGAACCACACATGGAGAAGGAAGGGATGAAGACAGGTAGGGTTCACCTCAGCAAACTCAAGAGAAACAAGTCTGTAGTGCAGTAGTTAAGGGTAGTGAAAACTGGGATTGATGTACCTATGAGACCCACAAACTCCCAAGGTCTCAAACATGAAACAGACCAGGTGCATTGAAACACATTAACACCTTTTTTGGGTGGTGGGGAGGTGGGGTGGGATAACCAGACAACAATGCCTAGAAGCCCACAGTAGCAGCCAGGCCATTCCAACAAATTGAAGCCATAAAACACACAATATAACTTCTTGTGAGATCACCCCCATGTGGGCAGGAGAGGGTAGGGGTAGACCTAAAGAAAGACTAAGGGCTAGTGATGTAACTCATTTGGTAGAGTGTTTGACCTCCATGTATGAAACCCTAGGTTCAACTCCAGGGCCAAAATGGTGTAGTGGCACACACCATTATCCCAGCACTCAGAAGGCAGACACAGGAAGAGCAAAGCCCAGTTTCATCCTTGTGAGGCCAGCTGAAAATACATGAGTCCCAGTTCCTAGTGTCCCCTTCATAAATTGCTGGGACCTAGAATCACCAAGTCCTACCCTGCTAGTACTCACAAAAAAAAAAAAAAAAAATCACTTACCCCAATCCAATGGCCAGCAGATGAGACAGCAGCAGAGATGGAAGAAAAACCTTCAGAAAGTCTGCTGAGAAAATGCCCCCTTTCTTCATAACACTTGTATTTCTCATGCTGAGAGTAGTTGTTCGCTTCGGATGTTTAAAAAGGAACTCCCTGGGGTGGAAAGAAACTACCAATCAGTGTGTCCTCTTGTCAAAGGAAGAGCTCATGATACTGAAAACACTTACTTGGGGGGGATATTTTCTGGCCGACTTGACCAATCCCATATCCAATCCGAGTTTTTCTTCAAGATGCTTTCAACCTCTCTTCTTCTCTCAATATAGTCTTCCTCAGACTAAGAAAAAGTAAATGATAAAGCAAGTGAGTGTCCTACATCCACATCAGAAATAAAGTAAGATCAACACAGTTCCCCATAGACTTTGACCTTGTTGAGGCTTTTCTTTATATAGGCTGTCAGTAGAAGGTATGGCCCAGATTAAAGGTGGATCTTCCCACCTCCAAAGATCCAGATTACAAGCTTATTATCTTCCAACCTCAAAGTGGGTTTTATAACCTCAAGTGTTTTATTAAGAAAAAAAATCCCTCCAAGCTATGCCTACTCATTTGGGTTTTGGTTAATTGCAGATTTGTTAAGTTGACAACCAAGAATAGCTATCACAAGCCCATTCCTTTTGCTGAACATACAATCATATCTCCTTATGTCATGCTTAACTTCCAAATGAACAGTAACTAGACCATAATTATACCCAACATGGTATTAACTGCAAATGCATTGCAAATTTAAATATTTAAGTAGTAATGTCCTTGAGGGACATTCTTAGTATCTCAAACTAAAACAATAATCATTGACATTCTCTTAACCGTTACATTACATGATAAATAAATCAAGTAATGGAAGCAAATACCTGTAAACACATTTTTAACAAAATATGACAGAAACACTCGTATCGATTATAATCTTCATTTCTAGAACTGGCCACATGGCCTTAGTAGCTGATATTTAAGAACTACCTTCCTCTACTACCCATTCTGTATTTCCTCCATCTTCATTGATGTGGGATGTCTCTCTGTATGCTGTGAATGTTTTAGTATTGGTGGTTAATAAAGAAGCTGAATTGGCCAATAGCCAGGAAGACTAGAGCCAGGAGGGAAATCCAATAGAGATACAGGGAGAAAAGGGGCAGAGTCAGAGAGATGTCGGAGAAGCAAGATATGCGTTAATAAGCCACAATCCTCGTGGTAAAATACAGAATGAAAATGTATTCATTTAAAATGTAAAGAGTGGTTAGTAATAAACTTGAGCCATCGGCCAAGCAGTTTGTAATTAATTTAAGCCTCTGAGTGGTTATTTGGGAATTGGTCGGCAGGAGAGGAACCTCCATTTACACCTCTCAGCAAGCACTTCAGTGAGTCTTGACTCTTTTCTTGGGGAAGTGACCCATAATTTCATTCCTGAAGAGTTTGTGCCCTCTGTCATCCTGCGTGGATTAGGTTATTGTTGTTTCCCACCGACTTTAATCACAAGACATGGAAGCATCAAGAGATGTCCTCACTCCATACATGTCTCTTACCACTATCATGGAGAAGCAATTCAATATTCCCCTGGTAATCTGGATTAGTTACCCCTCCCAACACTTTCTTAGCCTTGGAATTTTGCCTTTCTTGGCTTAATGGGATCACAAAATTAGCTTCCTTGGAATGTTTGCTGTGTCTCCTGGCAGAACTGCCCATCACCAACAACCACCAAAAAAAAAGTCACAGGACAGGAACAAGAAAGAAAAAATTCACTAGCGGTAATCATGAGTGGAACTATTCCATTTTCCACATCGTGATTCTTGGATCCAAGGGTCCTGGTTATGGAAGAATAGAATATGTACCATATTAAATTGGGCACTGATTTGAGGTATATACCACCTTCTAGAGGCTGCTGCCACCTAACTGGCCTTGTGTCGACAACAGCTTAGTCCATCTTTCTATCAGGCCAGCTGCTTCAGATGGTGGGGAACATGGTAATACTCATGATTCCATGATCATGGGCCGACTCTCTGGTGATATGGTTTTTTGGTCAGAAGCAATGCTGTGTGGAATACAGTGGATAAGGCATTCTATAAATCCACTGATGGTGGTTTTGGCAGAAGCATTACATACAAGAAAGGCAAAGCCACAACCAGAATAAATACCTACTCCAGTAAGGACAAAGCACTGATCTTTCCAAAAGTGGTTCTATGTAGTCAACGTGCCACTAGATCGCTGACTAGCCCCCCCCCCCCCCCGGGTCACAGTGCCATCCATATCTGGGGCTCAGTGTTAGTGTCTGCTGTTGGCAGAACTGGCGCTCAGCAGGAGCTGTACCCGGATCATCCTTGGAAAGTGGCAGTCCATGTTGTCAAGTCCACACTTAACCCTCATCTCTGCCACCTTGGCCTTTTTGTTCATAGGTCCATTGGGTAATGAATGAGACATTGGTAGGCTAACTCTCCATAGAATGGGGTTATCCTGTCTACTTGATTACTGAACACTTTCTCAGTTGAAGTCCCTTTTCAATAAGCATTTACTTGTATTTTCACCTCGTTTTCCCATTTGGAAAGATCATACTCCATACATACAGAGACCATACATTGCATACTCCTTCCTGAGATATCCTTTTCACCAATTTTCAAGTAATACTTTTGATCCAGTCAATCCAATGGCCACAGTCAATGAATTCAGTAAACAATAGCACATCTGGCCATTTCTCTTTCAAAACAAAATGTATGATCATGTATGCTCCCCAAAGTTCTGCCCACTATGAAGACTGCCCTTCTCAGGTGTGTCTTTCAGGGCTGTCTCAGAAAGTGGCTGTAATGTTGCAGCTGTCTACTGAGTCACTATTTTCCCTGACAGAGGTAAGGCAAAAGGCTTTCATTTAGCTTTCCAACCATAACAGCCCTCATATCACAAGTCGAGAAACCAGTGTAAGAATTCTGCCAACAGTTTACAACTGTAACTCCAGTTCCAGGGGATTTGATATCCACATTAAAGACATATATTTAAAAAAAAAAAAAAGGCATACATGCACACAAAACCCCAATGTGCACTAAATAAATAAAACTTAAAAAAAAATAATTCTACCAATTTCTAAGTATTTCCATCTCAGTTAAACATTCTTGGACTAGGTAAATAACCACAGGGTGAGTTCAGGGATCAGAGAACCTACCCTGAGTCAGACTTCAGCCAAAAATTAATTGCCTCCATAAACCCCTACTTTAACTGGCATGTTTTTTTGTTGTTGTTGTTGTTTTTTTAGGTCTCCTGGAATCAACATCAATTTGATCCTGCATCCTAGAATGTCTGATTGTTTCCTTACCCCAGTGTACAGTTTCCTAGTCTTGTCTCACTCAAGCCAAGGCATGCGTTCCTCCTTTACAGATACATCCATTTTGTCCAAGTCCCACTCAACTCTGTTAATGTAGCAGGTTTAGAGACTGGAGACATAGCCGAGTTAGCAAAGCACCTCCCTAGAAAGAATCCTGGGTGTTCCATTCCCAACAGCACATTAACAAGGTTCAGTGGCCTAGTCTACAGAATGAGCTCCAGGATAGCCAGGACTGTTTTACAGAGAAACCCTATTTCAAAAAAACAACACTATTCTGATGCCATGAGGACTTTGATAACAGCAGCAGAACCTATCCTAACAGAAGAAAATGAGAACAGGTGTGGCTAAGTAAGGGGAATATTATATATAAGAAGCTAGTTTAAAGGTGCTTTTGAGAAAAAGCAGACCACAACCAATTTCAGCTACACTTTTAAAATTAACAGCACAAAATGCTAATTAAGATGGTCTCCAAAATAGGAGATAGGAAATTTTCTCTTGCATTCTTAAAATTCTAGAACTGCATACTTAAGTAGGAATGGGGAGCTATTTCAAATAATAAAAAAATTTAAAAATATGACTGCTCCAAAAGTGGACATGCACTCAAGTGTATAGAAGGCTGGATGAATTCCAAAAGTCTTTGATGCCCAAAATGGGGCCAGACAGAGTTCTCTGGAGAAAGCCAAGGCTAGAGGTAAAGACAGTTTCTGGGAGTGGGACACTGATAAAAACTGGCAAAGGTGGAAACAACGCTTTTTAGTAGAGACCTTGCTTCCTAAGACAGCTGCTAAAATATTACAGAAGAAATTATTTATCTTTACCATATTAAATACCATGCACAAGGTATAGCACTACTAGATAAAATTGCACAAGATTCTACTGCCTCAAACTACTATACAGAAATGGTATGGATAAGAACACTCAACTTAAGCAATAATCCATCTACATGTCTCACCACAGTTCTGTGGCAGTTTGATTAAAATGGCCCCCAGGATGTGAGGGCGATCTGGCTGTGACACCTGTCACCCCATTGATCACCAGCTTTGATTCAGCTGATCTGGCTGGCTAGGCAGGTGTCCCACTGTATGTATGTCCCTCCTGAAGCTGTGTACTTGGTTGAAGAGAACAACAACCTTCCCCAAATACAGGAGAACCAGTCTTCAGGTAAGGTATATGAGTAGCTGCACTCCCCTACCTAAACCTCCAAACAAGCTCTCAAGAATGGTTAATCTGATCTTCCAAAGGACCCAAATTCAGTTCCAGCACTCAGACCAGGTGACTCACTGCTGCCCATAATTCCAGTTCTGGGGGAGGGGGGTCCAATACCCATGGCTTCTGGAAACCTGCCGTCATGTGCACATACCATACAGACACAGATACACACAATTTTAAATAATTTTAAAAAAATTATTAAAGCTGGATAGTGGTGGCACACACTCCCAGCACTCAGGAGGCAGTGGCAGAGGGAATTTCTTAGTTTAAGGCCAACCTGATATAGAGTGAGTTCCAGGACAGCCAGGGCTACACAGAGAAACCCTGCCTGGAGACAAACAAAATAACTCCACTGAAGGGTGGGGGAATAAAATGCTTACTGCACATGCATCAGGCCCTCAATTCAGATCGCCAACACCCGTGGTACACACCTTTAATCACAGCACTCAAAAGGCAGAGGCAGGTGGATTTATGAGTTTAAGATCAGCCTGATCTATATAGCAAGTTCCAGGATAGCCAGGATGAATAGGGAGTCTCTATTTTAAATAACCCAAAAAAATGGGGTTAAAAATGCTGTTGTTCATGCAGAGGTCCTGAGTCTGGTTCCCACCACCCACACCAGGCAGCTTATAACTGCCAGTAACTTCAGCTCAAGAGGATCTAATGTCCTCTTCTGAACTCCTTCAAATATGTGGCATTCTCATAGACACACATATATGCATAAATAAAAACTTAAAAGAACACAGATCCCCAGCACTAATGTAAAACGAGAGGCATGCTGGAACACTTCTGTGATCTCAGCCCTGGTAGGCAGAGGTAGGAGGATCACTAGGGCTCACTTGCCAGCTAGTCTAGTTAAATCGGTGAGCTCCATGTTCAATGAGAGACCCTTCCTCAAAACTAAGGGGGAGCAAAGGTAGGTGCGCGTGTGCATGCATGTGTGCATGCGTGAGATGTGTGTGTGTGTGCGTGTGTGTGTATGTATGTGTGTGTGTATGTGTGTGTACGTGATATGAAAACGTCACCAGGCTGATGATGTGCTGTACCGTATAGCATGCCCCTACTGCCTATGGCTTACCAGAGTGCTGTTTTTCTCTCCAAAGCTGTGAGTGTCTATTTCAGATCTGTTGGTATCTTGTGGTGTCTGGGAGCGAGGTGGGCTTGATTAGGAAGTGGACAAAACAGAGCAGCATGTTAATTCTGACATAAGAAGCATAAATCCCAAGCAAGACAACTGCCTCAGTAAGGGGGAGGGCTCTCCGCATGCCTCTTCACACTAATACCAGACCAGGGCCAAACTACTCCTCAGTCTTTTCAAGTGAGTATTCAGGAACCAGCTAGACAGTCTGAGGGAAGCTCCACCCTCCCACATAATCTGCTGCATAGCCCTCAGAAGCATCTGACCTTCGATCACTGACTCTCAACCACACACCTTGGATTCGTTCCCTAGTAGTGCTACCTAGGAACATAAGTCAGCTGGGGGACATGAACTTGATTCAGACTTGACATTCAAAGTGAACATTTTCAAAAAAAGGGGGCATATATTAAGGAACTTTGTTTTTTTGTGCCTAGGTTTAATTTGGTCCCGCCAGACTGAGCCCCAGATCACTCCCTCCCAGCAGATTCCAGGGTTCCTTCTTTCAGGACTGCTTCCGAGTTACTCCCAAATGTGGCCTTAGACCTAGAGCCCCACCTATAAAAGCATGCACAACTGTGATTATCCATCCACTAAGAACATCAACACTGCAAGAGACATCCTGCAAACCTACCTGTCACAGTGAGAACTCTTGGAGCTACTTCGTCCAGATTCATGCTGAGCATCCAGCAGTATTTTTTCCATGTCCCCATTATAAATAGAGACAGAGGCTGGAACACTGCTCCCGTTCCCATTGCTGAAGTGCAGTTCTACCCAGGAGCCTGAGACACAAAAAAGGGGGCAGTTAGAAAACTTCCCATTCAAAGGGCTTGATGTAGGCCTTTAGGCCCAGTACTGTGAGTTCAAGGCCAACAAGGTTTACAAAGACCTAATTTCCAAAACTAGATAGATAGATAGATAGATAGATAGATAGATAGATAGATAGATAGATGACAGAAAGACTTGCCCACTCTCGTTCCCAGGAAATACCAAGGGCAGCACATGATTAGAAATTACTCTAGTCCTACTTTGATGCCACATTAGACATTTGCATTTCTGGTCTGCTGGCCTCTCTTAGGACAGTGGGGAAAGTTCCTGAGGCTGAGACACTGCACTGTATCTTTTGCCCTTCCTTTATTCCGTGCAGGTGTTCTACAAACCTGTTGCTTTACCAGAGGCCAAGATGGGAGTCTTGTTTAGGTTGACAAAGCAAACTAGGCTTATAGTCATGAGTCAGCATGTCTTACTAAAGACTTGTTGTGGGATGTCCTGTATGTGCTGCCTTTATTGGTTGATGAATAAAGCTATTTTGGCCAATGGCTTAGCAGAGTAAAGCCAGGCATAAAATCCAAACAGATGTATAGAAAGAGTAGGCAGAGTCAAACAGACACCATGTAGCTGCCAAAGAAGAAAGATACCAGAACATTACCAGTAAGCCACAGCCTCATAGTGATACATAAATGAATATTAATGTGTTAATTTAAGATATAAGAAAGAGCTAGCTAAGAATACTCCTGAGCCATTGGACAAACAGTGTTATATTAAATATAGTTTCTGTGTGATTATTCAGGTCTGGGCCCCCGAGAAACCAAAGTAGTTTCGGTCTATACAAAAGACTATTTCCACATTTCAGAAACATATGGCCCCGAGGCTGTGAACTTCAGGTTGTCGGGCTTGATAGCAAGCACCCTTCCATCTCATTGGCCCCTGGTGCTTTCTGTGGTAGAAACTGACTGTATGTTTAATTATATGCCTCATTCTAGACCTAGGAAGATTTCTATATTTTCATTCATAGGTCCATTTGTTTACAGAAAATCCTTTGTTGAGCCATTAGAATGTCTCAGTGGGTAAAGGTGCCTACTGCATGAATACATGCATGTATACATTCAAAGGCAATAACAAAAAGAAAATCCTTTAATAAGAGGTAGGGTGGGCATGGTGGTCCATGACCTTAATTCCTACCATTCAGGAAGGCAGAGGTAAGAGGATCTCTGTGAGTTTAAGGCCAGCCTGGACTGAGAAATCTTATCTCAAAAAACACACACGTGGGCACAAAGACACACACACACACAAGGAAAGAAGGCGGGAGGGAAGGAAAGAAATGGAACCACTTATAATCACCTCAGAGTTGGGGATATAGATCAGAAATAGAGCTTATAAGAGGCCCTACTTTCCATCTCCAGTACCAAAAGGGAGGAGAGAGGAAAAGGCAAGAGGATCACTTTTAAGTTCTAGGCCAGCTTTGGCTACTGAGACTTTGTTTCTAAACCACACCACACACATCTCCAAAAAGAAAAAGGAACTATGCATGGTAGCACACCCAGTATAGATAGGACTTCAGAGTTCAGGGCCACCTTCAGCTCCCAGTTTAAGGAAGTCTTCGCCCTGTGCTACTTTTGACCTCTCTAAAACCAACAAAATCCCCCTTAAAAAGCTAGGCATGATGGGGTATACCTGCAATCCCAGAATTCAGAAGAAAGAAACAAAACTGTTGCAAGTTTGAGGACGGCCTGTTACAAAAAAGAACCAGTTCCAAGCCAGCTAAAGGTAGATAGCAAGTCTCAAAAGCAAAACACACATGTTCTTGGAAGCAAGAACAGCTATACAGCTTCTTAACACTCAGAAGTCTGGCCTGTGTACTTGTTGCAGAATGTGCCACATTAATCAGTGAAGAAAAAAAAACTGAAATAAACTGTGGGCTTACAGTTTATACCATCAACAGCCTCTCAGTAAGTTAACAAGTGATCATACAACAGAAACTAGAGAATAAACACAACTTTCCTCATTAGCCTCTCAGGTTGCCTCGTGGAGAAGCAGGCCTATCCCACATGAAGCACAATACCAGCTCAGAAAGGCAGTGTCCAGAGCCCCTCTGCGGCTGTACACAGGCAAGTCCCCACACTCCAGCTCCAGATACTCTAATGTCTTCTGCTGGCCTTCCTCCCTTCGCTGGCTAATGACACTCAGAAGCCAGGGGTGGTGGCTCATACATACGTAGAATCCCTGCAGTTAATGAGTCACTAAGGCACGAATGTTGCTCTGAGTTCAAAGCCAGCCTGGGTTACAGGGTAAGCTCCTAAACCTATCTACTGTGTACACTGCTGTGGTATAATGCTTATACACTGTAAAAATTTGTCACTCGTATTGGTTTAATAAAATGCTGGTTGGCCAGTAGCCAGACAGGAAGTATAAGGCAGGGCAAACAGACTACAAGAATTCTGAGAAAAGGTACCAAGCCACATGGCTAAACCTAGATAAGAATTATGGTTAATTTAAGTTGTAAAAGCTAGTTAGTAATAAGCCTGAGCAATCGGCTAGTTTATAATTAATATAAGCCCGTGTGTTTATTTGTGACTGAACAGTTGTGGGACTGTGTGGGACAGAAACGACTGTCTATAGGACATAGCAGCTTCAGGTATGGATAGTGTAGGCCAATCTAGTATTCAGAATCTGAGCCTATCCCAATTCATCTGATCACATTTATCCAGATCTTTTCTGGTATCTACTATAAACAGAAGGTTGAGGTTGTGTTATCTTCCACCTAGCACCATTCTGAATGGTAAATGTAGACTTTTTTCCCTGCACCAACTACCAATTTTCCAAAATCAGAGGAATGCTAGGATTCAATACTATTCTGACAGTATCTCCTAAAATTAGTAGCCAAAGTGGGAACCCACAAGGATGACACATATAAGACACTAGCCACAAGCAAAGTACAAGCTATCCATACTGCTGCTCAATCCATTACAAATTTAAAAACCAAAAACCAAAAGACAAACTCAGGGTTATCCACATCCCCCTCAGATTTCATATTTTGCTAGAGCTTACAACTCAAGAAAACACGTTGCTCAGTTTGTGATACAATTCACAAAGAGCCAAATGAAGCTCACACACAGGACAAGGAACACACCACCTTCCTGCTGCCCATTCCAAAACTCCATTTGTTCTGGTTCAAAGTTGGGATGTAGTGGCAGTTTCTTATATTTTTAACAGCCCAACCTCCAACTCCTTCCCCTCCCTGGTGGCCCTAAATTTTTACCCGCTGATAACTTCTAAGTGACCAAATTCTAGCCTAAGGCTAGTTATTCTGGGTCCCTCTTACAAAATGGACCTGAGTAACAGAATCAAACTCCTAGCTAAGATTAATTTCTTGTCCCTGTCAGTCCCAGCACTTGGGAGTACTAGGAGTTCCGGCCAAGCTGGTGTATAAAGTAAGACCTAGTTCAAAAATAAAAAAATAAAAACGAAAACCAGACACTTAGGAAATCCCACCAAGTTTAGGAGCTTGTGTCAGGAACTGAGCCAACAGCCAGATGTGTATATATTTACTACACAGGAGGCAACTGAAAATGCTGTCCTGAACTATACTGCTACAACAGTACACCATGGGCTTGGTGATTTATAAAGAAGTTATTTTTTACAGCTAGCAAGCCCAAGCTCCAGTCTATTGCAGTCTGTGAGTAAGCCAATTCCCCTCACAAGACCCTTCACCTGGGCTCATCACAGTGCAGCAGGGTCCTGGTCCTGCTGTCCTCATACTGGTAGCACTGGATTGTCGAAGAGACAGATTCATGTCATAGAGGGCTTTCAAAAATCATTAAGAGGCCCAGCACTTTTGAGGGGGAAAAAATTTCCGTTCAGAATGATCTGCTGCAAAAACCTAGGGTCCAAAAAGCTCTGTCTCCAGGAATGATTTACTAAGGAACGAGTTTTATCATTAACCTGTGGCTGGATAGGTAGTGTTAAGTCCTGGAAACAGCAAAGACGCTATTCATTTACACACATCCTGCAGTTATTTATCAGGGTGTTCCATCATTTTAACAAGAAAGGTGGGGGTATGCACCCTATAATCCTAATAGAACACTTGGAAGTTTAAGGCCAGCCTGGACTTCATGAGCGAGAAAAATAAATAAAATTTAAAGCAAAAGGTTTTGTAAAGGGAAAGAGCACAGGATTGCTTAACAAAAAAATTTCCTCAGTTAACACACAACTTATTCCATCAGAAAGACAGAAGCGCTGCTGGCCCCAAAACCCTCATTTCTGTTTTCCACCCCTCTCTCCCACTTCTGAGCTATACCAACAAGACACAGGTCAAGTACAACTTATATCTCCCTGAGTGTCTAGAACCGCTGGGAAGTGAACTCAAGTGCCCTAAGAAGCAGAATGTGTTTGTTTTTTTTTTTTTTGAGACAGGGTTTCTCTGCAGCTTTGGAGCCTGTCCTGGAACTAGCTCTAGTAGACCAGGCTAGCCTCGAACTCAGAGATCCGCCTGCCTCTGCCTCACAAATGCTGAAATTAAAGACATCACCACCACCACCCGGCTTATTTCCCCTTTCTTATGTGGGAATGAGTTCTGGCTCAAATAGTCTTTCTCTTTGAAGTTTTTTATTTATTTATGTATTTATTTTTGTTTTTCGAGACAGGGTTTCACTGTAGCTATTGAGCCTGTCCTGTAATTTTCTCTTGTAGACCAGGCTGTCCTCAAACTCACTGAGATCGCCTGCCTCTCTCTGCCTCCCAAGTGCAGAGATTAAAGGCTTGGGCCACCACTGCCCAGCAAAGCAAGTAACAACACCAAAAAAAAAAAAAAAAAATTGTGCTATTTTTGCTGCTATTTGTGTACCATACAAGTGACTGGTGCTCAGGGAAGCCTGAAGAGTGTATCAAATCCCTTGGAACTGAAGTTACAGGTGGCTGTGAATCAGTAAGTGCTCTTAACTACTGAGTCATCTTGTTAATCCCTCACTTGGTTCTGGGTACAGAATCTCATTATATAAACTAGGCTGACCACTGTGCTAGTTGGTTTTAATTTGTCAACTTAACACAACTTAGAAATAACTGGAAAAAGAGGGCTCTCTGAAGTATTTTATCTGAACTTGCAGGAGCTGGTTCTTTCCTTCTACCATGTGAGTTTCTAGGGACCAAACTCACACAGATCAACAGGCTTGGCAGCAAGCTCCTTTACCTGCTGAGCTATCTTGCCAACCCCATAGGAAGTAGATCTTACTGAGCAATTAGATCAGGTTGGCCTATGGGTTTATCCACGGAGCACCCTCTTGATTGTTAATCAATATAGGGAGATCCAGCCCCTAGTCAAGGGGTCCTGAACAGTTCAAAAGTCAGAAGACTAAATAGAAAGATAGCAAGCAGGCAACATGGGCGCACTCAATCCTCTCCACTCTTGAGTTGGTTCCCTCAACTTCCTCAATAATGGCCGTGTAAGCCAAATTAACCTTTCCTCTCCTAAAGTGTTTTTGTTTTTGTTTGTTTGTTTGTTTGTTTGTTTTTTGGTTTTTCGAGACAGGGTTTCTCTGTGGCTTTGGAGCCTGTCCTGGAACTAGCTCTGTAGACCAGGCTGGTCTCGAACTCACAGAGATCCGCCTGCCTCTGCCTCCCGAGGGCTGGGATTAAAGGCCTACGCCACCATCGCCCAGCCTCCTAAAGTGTTTTTGGTCAGAAGTGAAAGTAGGCCAGTCATCCAAGTTAGGATCCTCCTTGAGTGTAGTCCAGCTGATCTGAATACTTGAGAGTGCTTATTTAGACCTGGTGCTTTATGGCACCACACAAACGGTGTGTAGGCACATGCCTGCAATCCTCGTGCTCTAGATGCTGAGGAAGAATAAAATTTAAAGTCATCCTCGGTTACATACTAAGGTTCAATCAAGGCCAGCCTGGGATACATACCCATCTCAAAAACATTTTTAATAAAGAGGATATCTCTGCCTTAGTCAGGCATTGGGGTACTGAGATTAGAGGGTTGCTCTACCAACCTGTCTTCCAAGCTGCTTATACAACAATCCAGGGAGTCCCTACTATATCCCCAGGCAAACTTGTAGACTGTCAGTGCCTAAGGATACCTACAGCCAACAGAACCCTGTGTGAAGGGAATACAGGGTCCCTATTCTCAAAGCCACCCTACTTCCTGGGAGTGGCAGGAAGTGCTTTTTTTTCCATGAATTTCCAGAAGCTGAACCCAACTTGAAAACAGAGTTAGAGGTTCAAGCAAATATGCTGACAAGCTCAAGCAGGGACAACATCCAGCCAGATCTAGCAGTCCTCAGAGGAGCAGGCAGGCACACAGCTTCCAAACAGGAACATAATGCCAAAGGAGAATTGTGCGAGTGATATAGCATTCCAAGGGAGCACCAAGTCTGGGGGACGCAGCGCTCCCAAATCACACAGGGCTTCTCCAGACGTGGCTTCTGCTGTCAAGACTTAAGAATAATTCTGAACAGAATCTGCCCAGTATAAAATCCAGGCTACTGGCTTCCTTTTCTGTCACACACGCACGCTTTATTGACGGCGTCTTATATAGCCAGGCTCACTTTAAACTCATGATCTTCCTGCCTCCATCACCCTGGGATTACAGGCTGGCATCATGTCCAGTTAAACTCCTGGCTTCTAAGACTAGTGAACTTGCCTCTCTGCCTATTGCCAGGCTGTGCCTAAGGCATCCTGAGTCAGTCAGGTGCCTCCAGGTATCCCCCAGGTACTGAGCAGTCTGTGGCATGTCCTTAACTCAGGTAGTCACCCTTCTTCCCATTTAACCTCTGGCTCTCCCTGTGACAGATGTTCAGATAGAGCTAGGAGAAGCCCCTTCAGTCTAGCCATGTTTTCCTCTTTGTACAAGCCTGCCCGAGTTTGCCTGCAACCAGAGAATCACCTATCAGACCCAGCTGCAGACAAGGCATCTGAGTGAGGAGCTACAGGACTCTTTATAGTGGGCCTTTCAGGCAAGGGTAGCAAATAGGGCAAAGAAGTATCACAAAGCTTATCTCCCCTCCTGAAGGCCAGAAGTCATAAAAAGAAAAACAACAAAAAAGCCAGTCCTGTCTCTAAACACCTTTCAATAAGATTGACCAGAGGTTAAAAGGGAACAGAACCAATCAGGGCTGTGGGTAACACCTTCAAGAAAACTGGTCCCAGAGGTTGCTAAGGGGAATATTTGCTGTCCCACCTACCAACAAGGCTTGCACAGCTCTCAGCCTCAGAAGTAAACAAGAAGCAAGCAGAACACGCAGGCAGAGGAGCTCTGACTCCAAGCTGGGATTCACATTTCATAGGGCAGCTGAGATGCGCCATGTGACTCAAGTGACCCCTCCTACCCTGAACCAGACGGTGAGCCAGTGCTGAGCTGCACGTACACCCCAAACAATGGCCCAAATCCTTAGCGTGAGTTTCCACACGGTAACCATCTTTTTATAGAATAAGCAAAGCAGAAAAACAAAAATCATCTTAACCCTCGAAATGACAAATGACAACCTCACGTTGCCAACGAATGACTCAGCAGTCGGAATAAAGTGTATGTCAAGTTGGTAACTGAGACCTCAGAGTACCCAGAAACTTCCAGAGATGGAATCTAAGTAACAGTGTTAGAAATAAAATCTCAATAACTATAAAAACAACTTTACAGCAAACATTATAAAACATCCCTTGATTTCATTTTACGAGAAAGAATAAAAAAGCTTCTTAAGTCTGTCAAAGGAGAAACTGCAACTGTTTGACGGTAAGGAGTAGAACCTGAATTACAAGGTTTTTTCTAATGGGGCTGTAATTTTAAAATACAGACTCTGTAATGTATTAGTCTGGTTAAATTCTGCTTGTTCAGAATAATAAATAAATGCAGCTCACTAAATCTTAATACAAGCTTTTAAGAAATTTAATAAATTTCTTAAGAATGTTAAGAAATAACATAGCCCACCGCAGTGCTGTACCATTTTGATTCCAGCACTCCAGGAAACAGAGGTGAGTAAATCTAGGAGTTCAAGCAGCTTTGCCTACACAAGTTCTAGGACAGCCAGAGCTACACAGAGAAAACATGTCTCGAAAGTCCAAAAACAAGACAAATCTTCACACTACCTTGGGCATATGCCTTTAACGGCAGCACTGGTGCGGCAGAGGCAGGCAGAGTTCTGGGAGTTCGGGACTAGTGAGACCCTGTGTCAGAAAGAACACCCCCTTTAAAGGCTGAGGTGGCCCTCTGTTTATTTACAAGCTCATTTTACTCAGTGAACTCTTGCTTCAGAGAATACAAAGGTCAACAGGATCCTCCTCCAGTTCTTGGGTCCTTAGAAGAAAAGGCTGAGCACTTAACTCAGCCCCACCAGGTGGCTCTCAGAAAGGTTTGATGGCACACACCACCCAGGGTGGCCTCACAAAACTAGTACCTGTCTTTTTGGTGCTAATAGCCTGTAAAGGCTGCATGCAAAAAAAGCCTTTTTGTTGTTTGTGAGACAAGGTCTGGCCACACACCTCTAACTAGCCCAGCATTGCTAACCTTGAACTTGTCAAGGCTCAGCTTCCCCTGCTCCCCCAGACAAGATTTTAGGTGTGTCACCACACCCAGCCTAGCTTCCACCTTAACCAACAAATCACTTCATTGCTAACAGTGAGCCTACTGAGCTGAATAAGCACTTTACCCCACTTTTGTGCTGTTTGTAGCTCTCTTCCACACTGAGCTGCACAGCTCCTCTCCCCTCTGGCTTTCTCTGTGTAGCCCTGGCTGTCCTGGAACTCTGTAAACCAGGCTGGTCTCAAACTCAGAGATCCTCCTGCCTCTACCATCCTGAGTTGAGGTTAAAGGCATGGGCCACTTCTGTCCAGCCATTGTAACATTTCTTAAAGATAACAATCTTTTTGTTTTTTTGAGACAGGGTTTCTCTGTAGCTTTAGGAACTAGCTCTTGTAGACCAGGCTGGCCTTCAACTCAGAGATCCACCTGTCTCGGCCTCCCTAGCAGGCATTAAAGGTGTACGCCAGCCACCACCACCCAGCTATTCCAACATTTCTTAAAGATAATCTTTTGACTCTAAGAGATGACAGTGGTCCAAAGCCTTACATCCTCCCTCCTCTTCCATTAGAAAGAGCTGACAAAACAAGCCAGAGGTAAGGACGGGGCTGTAAATTCCAGCTACTCCAGAGGCCGAGGCAGAAGGATTCCAAGTTCAAAGCGACTATGTCTTCAAGCATAAAAAGATAGCAGGTAGTGTTCCTCGGTGGCTGAGCCCTCACCTCGCACCAGGGTCATAAATACTAATGAGTTCAATCAAAGCACTGAAAAGTCAACCTGCAACCTCTGGCTCACTTCAACAGTGTTGAGCCAGGCGTGGGGGAAGTGCAAGCAAGGCCTGTACTGAGCTATTCAGGATCGCGGGGAGTTCGAGGCTGACCTAAAGAGACGGCGAAGCCCAGAACTCTAACAGCGTGAACAGACCACGAAAGGTTCAGCCCGGCCTGACTATAAAAGGGACTGTCTGTAAGATGCATCGCGGCCTCCACGCACGACTCCCCGGCCCACGACCCGGCCACCCCCGCGACACCCCCCTCGGTCCACAGCCTCACCCTGCAGGTTCTCCTCCCCGCTCTGCGACATGGTGGCTCGGCAGAAGAACCCAAGAGCAACTGCGGCAGGCCTCAGCGGCGGTCACCGAGAGATGGAGAGCCGCCCGCCGCCTGCACTGCTCTGAGGCCAGGCGACAGGGGGCTGAGGGACAAGGGGCGGGGCGGGGCGCGACGCACGCGGCGGCGGCGCCCATTGGCTAGGGGGCGGGGCCTGCAGGTGGAGGAGGAACGCGGGGCGCGTGCGGCACGTGTGGCGCGTGCGCGGGGCGGAGCCTGGGTGGGACGTGGGCGGGGCCCGGGGTAGGAGTGCGCTGAAGGGCGGCCTCCTTTAAGCATTTGGACCGGAGGGGGCTGGGGGCGGGGCCTGAGGTTATTGTCACTGGAACCAGATTTGCGCCGGTCTGGGTGAGGCTAGGGGCGAGACTGTGGCCGAGCGTTGGGACTCCGAGGTGCAAGCTTTGCAGGGGCGCTAAGGGAGGGGCCTGAAGCCAGGCTAATGTAGGCATGGCAGGGCGGACCCTGAGGAAGGCGTGGCATGGAGGACCTGCTACCAGGCTCTGGAGCTGCTGGCACGGGCTTGTGGAGCCTGCCCCTCCTGTCCGCGGTTGACCCACTCTGTGCCCCTAGCTCCAGAATCTGCGGGTGCCAGCCACGGGAGCACGCGATGGTTTCACTGTCTCTGTGCCCGTTTACAGATAGGGTTTTTGGCTGAATTAAAAAAGAAAAGTCTGGAGTGGTTGTGCATGCCTGTAGTTCTGGGTCAGGCTGGGCTGTCTAAAATAAAGCAAAACAAAAGTTGCCAGCATTCTGCTGCAGCAACAATGGCGAGTTGGAGAAGAACAGGGCATTTTTGGATGGAATTGGAAGGACAGTGCTTAGACTCTGCCTTGTCCCTGTACCCTACCCAGTAACGCTGTTCTTGGAGGTTGGAATTCCCTCTTGATACAGTTCTGGGATAGAGAAGAGGAATTCGAACCTTCGGAGAAGCTGTCTTAGCAGCAATGGGTCAGATCACAAGAAGCAACTTCGTTTGGTAGTTTTCATTTACAAACCGCTTGCCTTGAACTGGCACACGCCTTTTGTCCCAACACTCGGGAGGCAGAGGCAGGTGGATCTGTGTGAGTTCAAGGCTAGCCTGGCCTACACGAGCTAGTTCCAGGACAGGTTCCAAAGTTACAGAGAAATCCTGTCTTCAAAAAAAAAAAAAAAAAAAAAAAAAAGATGATTGCCTAGCATGCATGAAGCCCTGGATTTCAGCCTTAGCGTCACAGAAAACCAAATGTTGGTGGCCCACACATTCAACTGAAGCAGGAAAATCTGCTGTTCAAGTGTAAGTGTTAAGGTCAAATCTGAGTTACATGAAACCGTCTGAACAAAAAGACTGCGGGTATAGTTCAGTGTAGATTTCTTCCTTAGCATTTAAGAGGTCCTAGGCTCAATATTTAACATTGAAAAAAAGAAAAATATCTAAGTGACAACATATTAGAAAACAGGATCAAGTTATCCTAAGTGACTTTCTACCACAAAAAAAAATATATTATTTACTTACTTTCTTACTATGTTTTTGAGACAAGGTCTCTTTATGAAGTCAAGGCTAGATTCCAACTCATGGATGGCAATATTATTGTCTCAGCCTTCATGACACCAGGATTACAACATGGCTCTTCCACACCCACTTAAAGTTACAGAAACTTTGACAGTCACCAAAAAGAAAACCAAAATCAACGTGTTTACAAAATGCATAGGTGAGGCTGGAGAGATGGTTAAGAGCATTGCCTGCTCTTCCAAAGGTCATGAGTTCAATTCCCAGCAACCACATGGTGGCTCACAACCATCTGTAATGAGGTCTGGTGTCCTCTTCTGGCCCGTAGGCACACACACAGACAGAATATTGTACACAAAATGCGTAGGTGAAGGACAGGAGGGGGGGCAGGTAGATAAGAGGGTGTTGGGAATACTTGGGAATAGAAGCAGCCCTTATCAAATTCTGAGCCTGAGGGCAGGGAGGCTAGGCAGTCAAGCTGAGCTAAACAGTCCAAGACTCTTATCCTTAGTTAAGAGGATGTTAGGGCAGATCCTGAGGTGGATAGCAAATTCCTTCTACTTGGAGCTAAAGATAGCCCAAGACCATTTTGGTTCTTGACTTACAGCTTTCGGTCTCCCAAGTCAATGTATTCATAGCCAAGGTCAGTCACTGCCAGAATCTTTAATGTAGGTTCTGCTTCTCCAGGATTTCAGCTCACAAAGCATTATCTTAAAGGAACACACATGTAAAAATAACAGTTAAAGGGCTGGAGCGATGGCTCAGAGGTTAAGAGCACTGGCTGCTCTTGAGGAGGACTCAGATTCAATTCCCAGAACCACAAAGGGCAGTGGTTCTCAACTTTCCTAGTGCTGTGACCCTTTAACACAGTTCCTCATGTTGTGGTGACCCCCAAACCATAAAATTATTTTCATTGCTACTTCATAACTGTGATTTTGCTACTGTTATGAACTGCCATGTAAATATCTGATATGTAGGATATCTGATATTTGAGCCCTGTGAAAGGGTCTTTCAAACCCCAAAGGGGTTGAGAACCCACAGGCTTGAACGACTGACATAGAGGCTCATCACAGTAACTTCAGTTTCAGGAGATCTTAATACCCTCTTCTTGCCTCCCTGAGCACTGGGCAAACGCATGGTGTGCAGTCATACATGAAGGCAGGACTGAACTCAGTAAGTTAAAAACAAGGGGCCTATCTTGTTTGGTATGGCTTTATTATTATCAGTGTGGGGGGAGGGATGGAGTTGTCAGTGCTGGGGATGGGATATAGAGGTCAGAAGACAACTCTGTGAAGTCTCTCCTTATCCTGTGTGTAGGTTCTAGGGAATCAAGATTAGACCAGGCATATCTTTTTTGTTTGATTTTTGAGACTGTTTCATTTTGCTTTGAGATATGAGATAGGGTCATAGCCCAGACTGACTTCCCGTGGTTGCTGGGAATTGAACTCAGGACCTCCAGAAGAGCAGCCAGTGCTCTTAAGCTCTGAGCCATCTCTCCAGCTCTCAAATTCACTATGATTTTGAATTGCCGACCAGATTACAGACCTGCATCACAACACCTGGCCTTGAGGTGAGCTTTTTTTCCTTACAGGGAGTGTCTACAGTCTGAACCCAAGCAAGCAACTGAGCTGTAGACTGCATCACTACGAAAGCTGAGTGGCGACTGTCCCCAGAAGCACCACCCATATTTGGGGTATGTCGGTGGAGCCCTCTTCCCGAGTCCCTTCTCCTCACTCTCCCTTCATGCTCACACTTAGATTCATATCAAAGCTTGTTTCTGCTCTGGGCACCAGAAGTAGAAAAGGGAGTGCTGCTTTCGTTTTGTTTCTGTTGCTGGTCTGATAAAAACCTGCTTTGAAGAAACGGTTTATTTTAGCTTACAGTTCCAGGTTATGGTTTATCGTTGCCAGGAAGTCAAAGCAGGAGCCATGGCATCTGGTCGCACCATAGCCTCTGTCACAAGCAGAGAACAATGAATGCAGGCACCTAACAGTCCACCTGATTTCTCTAGTCTTAGTAGGTCTAAGGCTCCCAACCTAGAAATCGTGCCTTGCACCTTTAGACCTGGTCTTCCCAGAACAACTAAGGCAGTCAAGAAAATTCCCCGCAGGTATCCCACAGGCCAAGCCCGTTTAGAAAATTCCTCACTGAGACTCTGGTCTTGGGTGATTCTAGGTTGTGTCAAGTTGACAATTAAAATTAACCACTAGGGCTGGAGGAATGACTCAGGAATTAAGAACACTGGGTACTCTTACAGGGCCAGGGTTTAATCCCCAGTACCCACGTGGTAGCTCACAACCATCTAAAACTCCACTTCCAGATCTGATGCCCTCTTCTGGCCTCCATCAGCAATACACACATGTGGTGTGCACTCGTAGGCACAGGCAAAACACCCATACACAGATAAAATAAAAATAAATCTTTTTAGCTGGGTGGTGGTGCACGCCTTTAATCCCAGCACTTGGGAGGCAGAGGCAAGTGGATCTTTGTGAGTTCGAGGCCAGCCTGGTCTACAAGAGCTAGTTCCAGGACAGGCATCAAAGCTACAGAGAAACCCTATCTCAAATTACCAAAAATAAATAAATAAATAATAAATAAATAAATAAATAATAAAAATAAATCTTTAAGTGGCTCAGCAGTTTGGAGCAGTTTCTGTTTTCCCAGAGAATCCCAGTTTGTTCTCAGCACCCACATCAGACTGATCACAACTTTGGGAAACTCTAATCCAAAGGGATCCCACATTCTCTTCTGGCTTTCAAAGGTACCTGCACTTACCTGGAAGACTCTTGCATGCACATACACAAAAATAAATAATTTAAAAATAAAAAATCGAACTAGCCATCACAGTAGACCTCTCTAGTAAACAGTGCAGTTCTCCTGAGCACAGGGCCAGAATAAAACTGAGGGTTAAGAGGGCCACACTGGCCACAACATAATAATTACCACAGTGAGAGCCCAAAGGGAAAAGAAGACACAGTGCATGAGCCAATGGTGACAGAGGTGAAGTAACAGGGCACTGGGAGAAAGGAATAATAAGGAGGATTTGTTTCTCTACAGCTTAAAATCAGAAGCGGGTACCGATCTGAACGCAGCCCTGCTGGCTGTCAACAGGAGGCGGCGTGCCTCTGACGTGGGTAGTTTAGTTCCAAGGAGCCCTCTGGGAACCTTCCACCTTTCTGGCTGGGTTCTCCTGCCTCGGGCCTACTGACCACTTTGTTCTGGCTCCTTCCCTCCTCCAGGACAACAGCCACTTTTCCAGGAATTTACCGTGACGCCTGTGCCACACAAAGTTATTTTTAGAAACTGGCATGATGAAATATTCAGAATTGTAAACAACATGCACACACGTTAGGTCCCACGTTGGCACTTGTGCAGCGTCCCTGTTGGCTCCGCAGGGAGCTCCCAGGGGAAGGGGAGGTGTTCTTTGATAAAAGCCTGGACTGTACTTGCCAGGGAATGCTCAGAACAGGAAGCGCTCTGGCTCTGAAAGTCAGACGTAGCCGTGCTGAGACTGGACAGTGTCCCCAAGGACCTATCAGGGAGTGCTAGGCTGGGGCCCTGCTGTTTATTTGTCCTTGCTTGCTTGGTGAGGCAATAACTTCAGGCCTGCT